GAACCCGGTAACGAATATCTACATAACCAAAACTCCAACTTTAGTGTCTTTGCGATGTGCATATACTAACTTCGATTCTAACAATATACAGTATGGTCAAAAGATTGGAAGTTGGTTGGATATAGGAGAGTTGCAAAATATATTAACGCGCACCTCTTACTAGGCGTTTGCGGAAGTTTAGTTTCATACTTTTTTCGAAAAGTAGTCATAGGATTGAGTTGGGAAAAACCGCTGTCGACTTCGAACGCTCATGAGTTTTAGCACGTTTATGAGTGGGATCGTTGATGAGTTGAAAGTTGATGAAAGGGGTGCGTAGAATAGTTGTGTCGTTGATGAGATTTTTTCGGGGGCATATTGTGATTTGTTTGATGTTTTCTGAAAAACATTTTCGAGATGTTTTGCTAGCGGACCTATAATAAGACCACTAGATTTTGTTTACGAACAAATCACATTTTTTGACATAGTTGACTAGTGACTACTAGTTTTGCGATTCGGAGCAATTTTTCGTGTTATTATGTAATTACTTTTCCATAATTATTTTCACATTATTCGATGTATAAAAAAAACTAGTCATAGCATGGGTCTGAAAATTCCCAATTTGATTGAAATATCCATACTGAGTATATTGGTGGAAAAAAATCTTACATCGACGGTAATAATTTCGAATTAGAGGGTGATGAAAAAAATAGTGGTTTTTGAATATTTTTTCGTGGTTGTCAATTTTTTCAATCGATGAATCACTCTGTATATCATGGAACTCATTGGGATACATCCTTCAAAAATATTTTGAATGTCTGGAATCAACCCGATAATACGAGGTGGCCCAATGAACTTTAGGATAGACCAATTATGCAATCAACAGCATTAATGAAACACCATGTATAATTATTATATTTTACGAATTCAATTGATGTAAGAAGAGCATACTTGGCTATAAATCTCATTTTGTAATTGTTATCAATTTGTAGCATTGATATTCAGATATTCAAATAAACACATTATTTGAAATGAGAATCACCCTGTAATAAAAATCAGTTTTGGTCGAATACCTATATAGTTCTTGCGCCTAAGGGCATAACTATTACGTGCTCCCGAAAAATTGGAATTCATTTGTCCTATCTTAGAGATATAGGCCGAGAAAAATTAGGTATTCTTCAACTTCAACACCCTGTATCTCGTAAACTAGTCATAGGATTGAGTTGGGACTTGGCATATTCAATCAGTATGTCGAGTACTATCATTTACCAAAAATTGGGGAAATTCGACGGAACGCCATTTTTATATAGAAAAAGTGCGGGGTCCTTTCTCTCTATATATAATGATGCGTAGATACATACGGCAGTCAATCATTTTTTTTTTTCTAATGGAACACCCCGTATATTTTAGCACCTTTGGACAGTCCTAGGCATTCCATAATCAAATATATATATTAACCTACCTTTTTCTTCGACAACTTTTGAAATATTCGCAAAAATATACTCAATGTGTCATATTTCTCATGGTTGCACCTCTGTATCTTCCGTAATAATCATTGTGGTAGGATTACGACATTGGCAGCTGTGAGAGAGATGCCAATGATACACTCGAGGATCAAGTGGGATCATCTCCAGTGATAACACTGCTCGCCAACAGCTATGGAATCACCGACATCTCTGGAAAATGCTATAAAGAGGCAGAATATTGGTTGAAAATGATACTCTGTATATATTAACCAAAGTAGGAAAATAAATATTGAAAATGTGATTCAAATATTTCATATCTAGACAATGAATATTTGGTATGAAATGAAATTTGAAATTATTTGATTTGATATAATTGTTTATCTATAAATTCATACTATTCAAAATACAGAAATAAGACAAATGATTTATTAATTGGGAAATTAGTAGGTTTTGGCTTAAGCAAACAAGAAGAAGAAGAAGAAGAAGAAGCAAACTTCACATCGTTTCCTCACAGAATTCACTGCGTTGGTTAGATGAATGGGTCTCACTTCTTGGAATGCTGAAATGTCGTCTTCCACGCAATTCTTCAGCATTTTGATAATTTCGACGATATATATGATTTTTTAGAAATCCCCACAAGAAAAAATCCAATGGAGACAATTCGGGTGAACGAGGGGGGCATTGGATCGATCCATAATATGTACCAATCCATGTTTGTGAAAATTTTATATTCAGAATATCTGTTACTCTACGGGCATTAGGGATGGACATCCATCCTGTTTGAAATAAATATGCAGTAATCTATCCTAATATAGTTTTCCACTCTCAAATTTTCCTCAAAAATAACACAGGCCAACCTGTATCCTTTGATAAAACAACTTATGTTGAAGTCAAACTTTCCCTGTTGCCTACTATCATGATGACTTCGAGGATTATGATCAGTCCCGTGGTGTTCATTATGCCTATTGAACAATCCACCACTAGTGACATAAAATATTTGAATCACATTTTCAATGATATTTATTCTTCTACTTTGGTTAATATATACAGGGTATCATATTCAACCTATATTCTGCCTCTTTATAGCATTTTACAGAGATGTCGGTGATTCCATAGCTGCTGGCGAGCATTGTTATCACTGGAGATGGTCCCACTTGATCATCGAGTGTATCATTGGCATCTCTCTCACAGCTGCGAATGTCGTAATCCTACCACAATGATTATTACGGAAGATACAGAGGTGCATCAACGGTGCAACCATGAGAAATGTGACACATTGAGTATATTTTTGCGAATATTTCTGAAGTTGTCGAAGGAAAAGGTAGATAAGTATATATATTTGAATATGGAATGCCTAGGACTATCGAACTGTGCTAAAATATACGGGGTGTTCCATTAGAAAAAAAATAATTGACTGCCGTTTCTTCTTGATGTCACCCTGTATAAAATTGCTGATGATGCCAATGGATTCTACGCATCATTCTATATGGATAAAAATTTGAAATTTTTCAATATCTCTCTTCATAAAGTACTCAGAAAATAAAAACGAAATCGGCAATTTTTCAATTTTCCCCTGTATCTCTGAAACGAATGAAGATATCAAAATTCCAATTGTACCATTCGAGGTTTCTCTAAAATCGAACCCGTAACATGTATATCGATTTTTTGATAACTCCTTCAGTTACAGAGATAGCCTATGAAAACGCCCAATTTTGCCCACCCTGTACAACTGGCAAAACTGAACTTTTGAAAATATTTCAGAACGATGTGGGATCACGGTATTTATCATCATATCATAACTTATTTCCACTTTCCACTTCATCAAATCCTTCGGACAGAATTTCAGTTGTAAAAATGATGTTGATTAAAATTCTCATATTGCAGGTCGTGACATACTTGTACAATGAACTAACCTAACATTGACTTGTATACCTTTACATATCTCTTTACGAACGTGGAGATCAATTACCTGTGAACTGGTTTAGTAATTAATCACTCATAACAATAATAAAGACTGAGATTATGTTTGAAACGAATTCAACAGCGGCAAATTGTTGGGTTTGTTGATTTTCAATGATTCTATTAGAAAGAGTTGGATTATTTTTTTATTCCTTATTATGTTCGTGATACATTTTTATCTCTTTAACGTGGGTAGAAAAGAGGCACCGCATCAAAAATGTTCACGTGGCACTCAATCATTGTTAAACACCCGGTAGTTATTTAGGCATCAAGGGCGTAAAATAGGCTTTTATGGGCCGTAGCGTGTAAGTAAGAGCCCGAGAGGGATAGCTGTCATCACAAATAACTTAATCTGGGTTCGATTATATCATTATGCATCTCAGAAATATCAAGAGAACTGTAATATTATATGAGAAACCATCACAACTGAAACATACCGGGTGGCTACGGAAGTATTGCCTACGGAATATCTCAGTTATTGTATGAAGTAGGTTTGTGAAATTTGAAGCGTCGATATAATGACATAAGAGCTAGAATTTGAGCATATTGACATGTCGAAGTTAACTTCCGGTCTGACCGGAAGTAACATCAACTTTCTTATTTTAAATGGAAACCCTATTTTTTTCTTTTCGCTTTATTCAGTATTCAATTCCCTTTCTAATGACATATCAAAAGTTGATATCTTGAATTTTTTTGTTCGATAAATCTGTTTTTTTTGTTATTTGAAGAATAATAATTGGATTTTTTGGTATTTCATTTCAAAAAATGACCATCTATTATATCATTAGAAAGGAATGGTTATGCTGAATAGTACAGGCAAGAAAAAGTTGTATGTTCCTATTTAAGTTATGGACCTACAGAGTATTGTCTTTTTCCCAATTTTTCCAATATTTTTTTGGCGGCTTTTTATAACGCCGACGAATGAAAATAAAATATCACAGTAGTAGCAACTGTTATCAAGTGACGTATGGTTTCCATAGCCAACTTTTCAATTTTTGGCTTTCATTTTGCTTCCACGGCCTACTCGGTGAATTTCAATAATAATTTTTTTCTGCTCTAGTTTCTGGTTAGATACCAACTTGTGATATGTCATTAGAAAGAGAATTGAATGCTGAATAAAGCGAAAAGAAAAATAAATAGGGTTTCTATTTAAAATAAGGAAGTTGATGTTACTTCCGGTCAGACCGGAAGTTAACTTCGACATGTCAATGTGCGCAATTTCTAGCTTTTATGTCATTATATCGACACTCCAAATTTCACAAACCTACTTCATACAATAACTGAGATATTCCGTAGGCAATACTTCCGTAGCCACCCGGTATATGTCCTGAATTGTACAGGAATGCATATTTCTAGTACCTATACGCGGGGCCGTAAAGTAGTCCGCGGACGGTAAAGTGCCCAGTCGTGCAAAAACGAAATGAATAACTCAAAGAAATTCAAACAAAATTTACCGGAATTTTCTAAACCACATCAATGTTGACTCACCCAGTATAATTATAATGGATGTATACATAGAATAGAACTACATAAACATTTTGATTGCAGCCCCCCTTAAATTTTTTCTTAAATATTTGAAAAATGAATCAAAGGAGAATTGTATCTACTATAATATATTTGAGAAAATATGTAAATATCAAATTAATACAAAAAGTCAAGAAGTTATAAAATAAAAAAACCGAAAAATTAGCAGTCAACTTGCATTTCATCAGGCTGGAATGAATCATCAATCACCTTATCACCGTTGCTACAATGACTATCCATTCTACTGATATTCTCTAGTGAATCAGCAACAGTATTATCTACTCCATTTTCTTCACTATATTCCACTCTAGGTCGTTTGCTGCTTTCTGAAGTCTGAACAGGATTATTTGTTTCTAGATCGTCATTATTACCTTTGCGAGCTTCCTCTTTTTTGTCATACAATCTGGGATCTATAGTGACTGTTTTCGTACAATCATATGTTTTATAGATTCCTAGGAGATTATCGCACAATTCGAACATGTTCGATCTCAGAGATATTATGATGAACTGGGCATTCTTTGTACGTTCCTGAAAAAAATAGTTCGAAATAAAAAATATCCAGCCAGTTGATATGATCAATAAATTTTCACCTATTACCTTCAAGCACCTACTCAACTATGGGTCTGATTGATAACAATGTAATAGCTATTTATACAAGGTGTAATTTGAGTATGTGTCCAAACTCCAAGAGGTGATTGAGTGATTCAAAGACAAAAAGTTCATATAAACATAGGTTCAGAAATGCTTCGTTTTCAAGATACAGAGTATCAAATTTTCAATGAAAATAATGGGAAATAATGAAAAATCCATTTGATTCAAAATTTTAATGTAGGTGCCCTCAAACCACCCATTGAGATTACCCAATAACCTCAATGAGTATTATTCTGAAATTTCGAGACTTTTATATTCACCAACGAGACTACGTTTTGCCATCATGAAAGCTCAAACAGAGTAATCATGAAAAAGAACAATCAATATTTCCATTTTTAACGCCCTGTATCTTAGAAACGAAGCATTTCAGGACCTATGTTCATATATACTTTTCGTCTTAGAATCACCAAATTAATCGTTCCTTGAAGTTTGGCCACATACTTGGATAACACCCTGTATATCACTCCGACGCGTAGCGGAGATGCATTGAGTTGAAAAAATGTTTTTTCCACACATATTTCACGAATATGTGTAAACTACTGGTAGCATTGTAATACAGTTTTGTGTGGATGTGTTTTGGAAGCATACACATCGCATGCGTTTGTTTATATATCTGACTCTCATAGAGGGCTCTAGTTACAGGGTTCGTTGAAAAGGAATATTCTCAGATAAATTATGAACATACAAAAATGGATATATATTTATATAAAGCAATACATTGAGAATTCGCATTCTCTATGTGATGAGAATATTTACTCTTTTTCAGTTAATTCAATAGAAAACAACTACTTTCCTGGCTATATGCCACGACGAACATTGAATTATATCTATTGAACACACACGATAAGAGTTTGAAAATAAAATATAAAAAAAAAAAAAAAAATTTCTGAAATTGAGAATTTGCATTCTCCTTCAGACAAAAATATGTATATACACACATCATTCTGAATATTCAACAGAAAACAACTACTTTCCTGGCTATTTGCCACGTCGAACATTGAATTATATCTGATGAACATTCAAAAGGGGAACATGAAAAATAAAGAATAAAATCCTCCGAAATTGAGAATTGACATTCTTCTTCAAATCGGATGAATATTATGATGAATAATGATCTAGAAATATGAAGTATACTTCTCCTATACATTCCAATTTTCATTTCAATGCTGAATATATTGGTAAGTCATATTTCTAGATCATTATTCATCATAATATTCATCCGATTTGAAGAAGAATGTCAATTCTCAATTTCGGAGGATTTTATTCTTTATTTTTCATGTTCCCCTTTTGAATGTTCATCAGATATAATTCAATGTTCGACGTGGCAAATAGCCAGGAAAGTAGTTGTTTTCTGTTGAATATTCAGAATGATGTGTGTATATACATATTTTTGTCTGAAGGAGAATGCAAATTCTCAATTTCAGAAATTTTTTTTTTTTATATTTTATTTTCAAACTCTTATCGTGTGTGTTCAATAGATATAATTCAATGTTCGTCGTGGCATATAGCCAGGAAAGTAGTTGTTTTCTATTGAATTAACTGAAAAAGAGTAAATATTCTCATCACATAGAGAATGCGAATTCTCAATGTATTGCTTTATATAAATATATATCCATTTTTGTATGTTCATAATTTATCTGAGAATATTCCTTTTCAACACTTTCATACCCAATCAGGGGGTTCAAACTTGAACGATGGAAACTTGTGATTTTTATAGACCTCTAATCGCAGATTCGTGATAGAGTCTCAATTCAGAATTCATTTCCACGCCCTGTATGATGAATGTCAATTTATCATACACCCAAAATACAGGGTTCGTACCGAGAAGTTTAAACACAACTTTTTTGAGGTTGGATTTTTCAATCCAAATTTGATGTGAACTTGAACATCATTTAATTCTTCACCAAAAATATACTCTTGGTAAAACTCAATTCTATGATCAATTTTCGGAATATTTCGATTTGAAAATGATAGTGAGTGGTTTGAGGATTGGTTGGACTCTAGCTATCTTCCTGCATGATGGAAAAATACCCGACCTGTACGAGACAGTAAACAACTTGCAGAGAATCGGTGTTAATTCTGGTGCATATTTTTTGAGGATAATGGGTGGAATTCCATCAGGACCGTTAGACTTATTCGTTTTGAGACCAAGCAAAATTCGTCTGATAGTGCGTTGACGGAAGACGATTTCGAGCATTCGACTCTCAACGGGTGGAATGTCTGGCGGCACTTTTCCTTGGGAATCTGGAGTAGTTTGCTGCGAACATCTCTGCAAAAATATTTGCTTTCTCCTGCGATGTTGTTGCTAATGTGCCGTCGGATTTGGACAGTGGTGGAAATGAACTATTAGTGAAATTTCTTCCGAACGATTTAGCAAGGGACCAAAACGAACGGGAGCCATTGGGACAATCTATGAGTTTCGATCTTATCTTCGCGCTGTATGTTTCTTTCGAAACATCTATTGTTTGGCTGCAGTTATACCTGGCATCAACGTATTCTGCTCTAGTCGCAAGTTTAGGGTTTTTGCGTCAGCGATGGTAGGTTGTTTGTTTCAAGGCAACAGTTCTAGAACAGTTTTTGTTGAACCAGGGTTTCGATGGTGATGATCTTTTCGAAGAATGAGAAAGACAGTAAGTATTTGAATCAGTAACATTTGAATCAGAACGAAAACCAGTTTAACACTTCTGTCACATTGAATTTGTTTGTTTAAAGTTTCGATTGAGAAAGTTTGGAATATGAGGAAGTTTATATTATTGAAGTTGAAAAAGGAAATTGTTATTATTTATTTTTTAGTAGTCATGGAGACAATGATTAGGTACTTTGGTAGCACAGATCTTATACGTATATCTCTACCATGGAAGCAAGCTAAAACCAATTTATTTCACCTCCAGTAAATTAACAGGTTTGTGTCCTTAACTGAGAGAGCAAATGCTCACTTTCGATAAAGTGAGTAGTTAAATAGGATTATCTACAATGATATTGAACATTCTTTCCTTTCAAGTGTTTGAAAATTCAGAAAATAGGTGATTGAAACTAAATGAGAGTTCAATTGTGTAACGAACTACTTGAAAACCTCTCATTAAAAGTTTCAATCTGTAGAGGGATTATACTGGAACATTTAAAAAACAGGTGATTATAAACATATAGGTTTACTTGCGCGACCAACTACTTGGAAATCTTTCCTTTAAGTTCCAATTTGTTGAGAAAATATGAGACTGCAATTTGGACACATCATCAGAGAAAGCAGCAAACCATTTGAGTTGCCTGATGGATAGCTTATCAAGCCATTTTGCTTGAATAAGCCAGCAAAGAGTTTTTCCGCTATGAATCAGGTTCTTTTCCAAACATATTCACTATCATTTCATCCGGCTTTTGGTTGTTTTCTCATTTCAGGGACATGATATATTACTTACCACTCGCACGACAACCAAATTCAGCGAATACAAAAAAATCTGTCAATTTGAATGATATAATTTTCAAAAATGTCACTACAGGACAGACTATTTTGAGAAGTCAGATAATCATAAACTCTTCTCCTTCGTGAAATAATGGTAATATCGGTACCTAACACTTAACAAATGAGTTAAAAACATTGTTGACAGCTCAAAAATTCTCCATTTTTCAACAATATTGCTGTCACTCGAACTTATAAGCAATCTTGCAGTTACTGTCCAAACAGAATACATAACAATATTGTTATCTTAGCAATGTTATAACAAAATCCGAACTGGATCGACTCGATTATCAGAATAAATATTTTGAAGGCTTTAATTTCCATGTATAAAAAAGTTTACTTTTTAAGCGGGGCGCTAAAATTTACCTAATGACTATCATTTGATAAACGAACTGATTATTTGAAAAGCAGGAAAGTATTCAAATCATACAAAATGGTAGAGGATATAAGTTTTACAAAAAAAGTTTTAATTCTAAAAAAGGATTCAGCAATTCTCATTTGAGAAAGTTTAGTAGACATACAGTGACCAGCAGAAACTTGGAGGAATGTGAGAAAATACAAAATAAAGGTGATTTCAATTTGAATTGGACAAAATTATTTTTATGTTGAAGTGAACTTGACATTTATAATCCGAGATATTTTCCTTTCAATTTGAATAAAATAAACTGATATAAAGAATTATTAGTCCAACGGACTACTAATTTTTTCGCAGGCAATTTTATAGGGATTCCCTTTCGTGCGCTCCAAGCGATAAAAAAACAAAAGTATCCTTTGACGAAAAAAAACTCTCATGTAATTATGGAACAATAATAGTTACTGTCAAATTCAGTCTCTATTGAGATGATAATTTCAATGGTTATTATTATGAAACTATTATTGCTTCTGTAATGATAATTTCGCTATTCCTATTACATTTCCAGATAGAGATGTAGAATATTTTAATTTATTACAAAATACAACCCAGGTATTTCTATCGAAAATATTTTTTTTACTACAGTAATCCTGAGTCAGTTGGAACTGAAGTTGAGTAGGCAATTAAAATTTTCGTTACTGTGAAAACTAAATCAGAACTTTATAGAAGGTATTTTCGTCATTTGCATTGAATAGGTGTGATATTATAATAAAATAATTGTTGTAAATTTTATTGTCCAAGAATGAATAATTGGTTCATTGGACTTGTCCTCATTGATACTTCATAAGAATTAAATTTTGTTTTCAGAGTATGACATAATATATATTTATTGTCGTTTCATTCTTCTGAGGTGGACACTGTTGGATCCAATATTCATAGAACTGATTCACTTTCAGGGCTATTGCTGAATTGCTAACACTGAATTACGTCAGATAAATTATAGAGATTTCAGGAATCTGAAAATGAAAAATATACATACTTTGATATAATTTCCCACAATGGAGACATTCTTGAAATCCAATGCAGCATCAATTTCATCCATCACATATAAGGGAGAAGGTTTGTAGTAATGTAAAGCAAAAACCAATGCCAAAGAAGACAATGTTTTCTCGCCTCCTGACAGATTAGATATTTTTTTCCATGATTTTTTTGGTGGTCGCACACTGAAAAATCAAATAGAAATACATTTATTGTGCTTCTTATTCAAATTTGGGAAATATTCACAAAACAGCTGTTTGAATGCTGTTTTTTATTTGCCGGCCGACTGCGGATACCAAAGTAACCTTACTCTTTAATCTGTAAAATTTGAAGGTAAAACATCATTTTCGTTTTCAAAATATAACGGGAAACTGAATTGGCTGTTCCTTCTACTATAAGTAACTCCTCTTTTTATAGAGATGATGAATTGGAAGGTACATAAAAAACTATACGAGATAATTGAATTGAAGCCTTCAATCATTGGAAAACATATAAACTAATTATGTAGCGAATATTCATGGTTCTGTATTGTTGAACCGATTACATCATAACGATCTAGGTATTATATGGCATAATGCTCATCTCGTTGACAAATCGCGAAATTCAGCGCATATTACCGCAAAGAAAATTGCATCCTGCTCAGGATAGAGATTCGTGCTGGTGCCGCTCAATAAAATATCTTTGTATGACGGCCGGCTGTTGGACCAATACGTTTCGTTGCAATTCGAAATTCGTAACGGCGTGAGGAAGCATCTAATGCAGATTTTTTATTCGAGTTAAACCCCTGACCAACTAAACAACTGATCGTTACACAAGAACAATGGGTCAGTACATGAGTCAGTCGAATATCTCAGCAACAGAACAATAAGGGGTGATGTCTTTCAGAAGGACGATATTCATATACCTCTGTTTTAACAATTTGTTTCTTACTTTTAATTTTTTCAATTGTTTTGTATATTTCATTTCTGTTATCCGTTCCTGTTTTTTATATACTCAAATCTTATAGGTACCTATGTTGCCGTATTTTTTCCGCAATCGACTCAAAAGTTGTCCATTTGCGTTTCAAAATCAGCTCTTGAAGTTGACGTTTCTCTTACTGACAATAAAATGATTAGTATGTATATTGCTAGTCAACACTTTTAGTGTCTAGAAGGTTAAGTAAAATTTTAACTCCTAGGAATAATTAAAAACGTGTCAAATGACAGCTGATATGATTGCTTTGACCCTGACATGCTCAAATGACTCAAAATAGTGGAAACTCCACTTGTATTTCATTAATTAGATATCAATTATTTTGATTGCAGAATAAATAGCATGTTTCATTCGGATCAAAAGTGACTTTAGTTTGACTGAAAATTTGCATGCTCGGCTTTGCGGTCGCTCCGCATCGCAAACGCAAATATCGCTTGTCAAACAAAGCGTCACATTTGATCCTAATGTACAATGTACTATTGTGATATTTGTGAGTATTTTTGAATTGAGGATTAGGAATATGATTATATTGTTATGAGAACATTTGTTTTGTTTGTTTCTTTTTTGTTGGAAATATGTTACTTTTCTGTTTACTAGGAGAACATAATGTTTTGACGTCATTTCTGTTTTTTTTAATTGCATTTCCTCGTTGGACCAAGCACTGGATCCAACGCCCCATGAGTCGAAACTTGTGCGGGGTTAGGAAAGCATACATTTACAAACATCCATGGCCTAACTGGGATTCGAACCCATGCCTCGGTGGGAGTCCCCATACAAACTCAGCGCCTTCGCGCTCTCGACCACCAAGCCGCCGTTTACTAAGAGTACATAATGTTTTGACGTCATAGGTTTGTTTCATTATCCTTTCTTGGATTTCGTATAGCATAAAATAGATCTGAATTTTTGACAAGGTATTTACTGATGAAATGAAAATCGAGCTTGCAACCCTTATCCGCGCGGAGAGTGAGTTGACAACTGTCATTTGCTGTTGTCAAATTAATTAATTATTCACAAAATCCGATAGATTTCACGTGTGAATAGGATCATGATGTGGAAGTGTTTGAGGTCGACGAAAAAATGCAATATGCACCTCGGCGAAAAACTGTCTATTGTCTCGCTTGTTTGCAGACTCGATTATAAGAGACAGTGTTTCGTCCTCGGTAAATAAATAACTATTTTTTGACATCCAGACGAACTGCCAAATCTTGGATTTCATTATCAATGGTTTAGTTCATCCAAAACAACACAAGCTAATATAACCTAGGATTCAAATTCAATCTGGTGTTTTGAAAAATGACAAAGATAAAATGTTACAAGTGGTATGCGTACCAAAGTGAACCGCTGAGTGTCAGCCTCCTAATAACAACTTGCCGACATGTCTTTGTCTAGAATGTATATCTGCCCTTCCCACCAATTTAACCCCTGAGTAAGACAATGGCAATGCCATTAATTGAAGGACAACATTATTATGCTCATCTCTTTCTATCATTCCGTTCAGTCTGCGACACGATGTATGTCAACAAAATCAGATGTTAATAATAATAATGATATTTATTTCATATTGTGAGAGATGCAGAGACGAAGGGTTCTGGTAAATCAGACAAAAGTAATGAGGTCAACAGAAAGGTATAGAAAATAATTTACAAAATTTTACAAGGTTAGGAGGTCCCAGTTGGATTAGTTTCGTTTTGATTCCAGACTTGAATATTTTTTCGCATTCTATGGCCTTCATCCAGTTAGGTAAGTCATTGAAGAATTTTACTCATGTGTATTGTATAAGCAATATGAACTAGCATGGTACTTAAAGCGTCATACATACTTGAATTGAATTCCTTCCGTGAAAGGATCGTAAGTGTCCACCATCTCAAAATCAGCATCTCCTCCTAATGTTATCATCTGATACATTTCTTTAAGCTTCAACTTGATTATGCTGTAACCCTTCAGAAATTCCTCTCTCCGTTGCTGTCTCAAGTTATCATATAGTTTCCTCATTTCCATTCTCTTGTTACTAATCTCTTCCAGTTCGTTTGACCGTTCAATGTAGACTGACTGTTTCTTACGATATTCCTGTGTAAGTTCAGAGTATTTTGAATAGGGTGAAGATACAATCGGACCCTCGAATGGACCGCAAAGTTTCGGTATATTTAAACCATATCTTCTTTGGAAAATAGTAAAACAGTAGATTTTCAAGATTCACGTCATTTCAAGATCACAGCGTGAAATGGCACCTTCATTATATTTTAAATAAAATTGGAAACTTGTCAAAATTTTAAGTTTTAGTTGTGCCATATTCTCATTATGATTACCATTCGAATAAAATGCAGGATAGTTATGTATTGTCAGGAAAAATATCCAGTACCAATTCATTCAAGATTAAACGAAATATACAATGTTCTTACCCCAATCGCGTTTAGGTTAGGTTTTGCTATCTTCAGGTGGTTTTCAGCAGCTTCTAATTCCTTTTCAACATCGTTCACGTTAGCCTGCTCTATCTCTTCTTCAGTATATTTCTTGAGTTCTAAAGAAGACTCATTCGGAATGTCTTGAAGTTTCAAACGAGATATCTGTAACAAACGAAGGGATTTCAAGGTGATTATACCGAGTGATAAAGTATTTGAACAATCTCCAAGGGGCGATTCATCGAGTATTTATGAGATAAAAAGTTCACACAAACATAGGTCCGGAAATGCAGTTTCAGTAAACAACATGTCAAACTTGAAAAATATGGTTTTGTGTATACATCTAATGAGCAAATCAGCCCCTACTACTACAAATTATACTGCCAATATTTTAAGAGAATAAGGTGAACCAGTTTTACAAAATAAACAAAAATTATTTTAAAAAAGTTTGACATTCTGAACTGTTTTTTTTTTGTTCGTAATAGTTCGTTTTTGTATAAGGTGATTGACTATGGATTTCACGCTTTCAACACTCAATATCTCGAAAACTAATTGAGACATTGAAAACTTCAAAACAAAATCTTGAATCAGGAATGCCGCAGGAAAAACATTGCTCATGTCAACAACAGCCCAGTCAGCACACCCTTTCGTTGTCAACCTTGAAATATGTCCAACAACACTTTTAGAGAATGCATTGGTCTATAGTCTATAGAATGGCGAAGCTTTGGAGTTATTTGCAGATGGAAGTATTCCCAAGAACTTATAATCTCCAAAAAGTTTTTGAAAAATCCAATACCTACCTCCTCTCCCTCCTTTCGTGCACTCCAAAAAATTAAAAAAGATATCTTGAATTGTTGTTGAGCATTTGATTGCACCTCCTTATTACTCCTAGCATTGGAGCCACTTTTTCAATAATTCTGTTTACATGCACATCCCATAGTAAATTTTCAGTTATTATCAGTCCTAGATATTTATATTCTTCAACTTCTTTGATCAGAGTAATTTATTTTTATTTGCTTAGTTTATTGTAACACAGCCAAAGTAGGGTTTGAGCTCACTATTTACATCTTCTACAATATATTTTCTTCTAACTATTTCTGCAGCATTTTGAGTAAGACAATCTCTTGACGCAAACTATGAAATCATATCCATTCATAGCATAACCACTATATTTAATGGCATGGAGGAAGGAGATGTAGCCTGGTGACGAAAATTCAAAAGTGCAAGTGAATTATATAAAATTCTTAATCATATTCCTATTAGTTACATGAAGAATATTTATTTCTGTCTTATTCAATCGAATTCACAATATTTCATATATGTATATTTGGTGAAGTACACATATTTCAGGTATGAAGCCACTCATAAAATTACATAATAAAACAATCATGTTCAATTTTCATTTCTTAGAACGAACTGAAAATCTATACAAACCTCAAGATTGACTAAATTTAGTTTCATTGTACGAACTCAGAAGTTTTTGTTTTATTCATTTTACCAGAGAGAAATTAAAAATATCAAATACGAATGTTGATGAAGTTAATACGATTCATGCCCATGAAACAAGACAATTGAATTTATTGATAACGAATAATCATAAGTATATTTTAGCAAACAATCGATATTTTATATAACTCCTTACATAATGAGTTGAAAAAAATGAAGGAAACGGTTAAAATCAATTGAAAGACATATCTGCTCAGTATACTCCAATTCCATACTAATCATTCACCATTCATTTTCACAATTTATTGTTCATATGTTATGTTGAATATATCACTATTATAAACAAAAATATTACTTGATATAACAGAGACAAATCAATACCAGCAAATGAATGACAAGTGTTCATCAACTACGATTTACTGGATTTGTTTGATATATTAGGTGTCGATGCTCACAATTGTTCGTTGTTTATCAAGATATTGTTACGAAACTATAGCGGGCGGCTCACACTGCTCCAAGGTCCTCTGATTGTCGTGGATCGTGCGCAATCGTTTTGTTAGAAATTCTGACTGGTTTGAATTTATTATTAAATTGAATATAGTAAGTATAGTATCTATGTGGTTCTGAAAACAGGGTTTCATGGTTTTAATTTCAAGGAATGAATAACGGATCAGTGATTGTCAGAATCGAAATTCATTTTATAATGGTAAATTTTTCGATTTTTAATGAAAATAAAAGTGTGATTATGGTCAATCGATTTGTACCACTCGAAAGATGAAATGCACGAAACGATCTGGGTCATCTGAAGTGATTAGAAGAAGACATGAAGGCCAAACCTGGAACATCGTTGCACTCGTTGCTGTCTGGCGTGGAATTGAAATATTAAATGGTCACTCCTGATTTATAGATACCATAACGCCTCTCTCAACGTTCCGCAATCAGTACCGTAAGACGATGAAATAAAGTTGGCATTTATAGATTTTCCTGAATTTGACACAAGCCAATCTTGTTATATTAATTTGTGTTATTATTTTTGTTCGGACTATCAAGTATCATTTTTGGAATTAGCATTGTTTCAAAGCACGAGGATCAATCTGTTCTACCAATGGGTGATAACCTGGATTAAGAATATTTGGCACTGCTACAGCTGAGTCCTGTTATGTGCGGCAGCAATATAGGAGCTTCCGCAAATCGAAAATGTCGTCAGTTCAAGATGGGACCTCTGAATAGGTATTAAATCAAAAGGTTTCTTTCAAGTTATATACCTTCATGTCCATGAGAACAATCCGCAACTCCAACCATTTTTAAAATTTACTCCGATGGATTTGAATCTTTGCAACCATCTGCTCCAGCTTCAATACCTACCACACCTCAAAAAGCAACAAACAGGTGTCTTACATGATCTCCCCAGAAGAGCAGTTTGCATAAATTACTTCATCATCAATAAATGAATAAATTGAAGTTACCAGAGATATTTATACAGGGTGTCCGCTAAAAGGAAGTCAATCCATTAACCACATATTCCTTGAACAAAAACAATATGAGTTTCTAAATATCATTTTTCATTTTAGCCCTTCATATTCGGTATACAGGGTGTCAAAGTTGGAAATTAAAAACTGTTTTTTTCTAATTACTCGCGTATTTGATAAGATATTAATCTCAAAATTAGTACATTACTTCAGCACAAAGAGTTACATCGTGTGAGGAAAACAAAACAGAAAATAACTGTCAAATATTCAAGATACTGGGGGTCAAGTTCACACTTACCCCCATATTTTTTTTGTACGTGCGCTAATGACTTCCTATCTATTTTTCTTCATGTGTTCAATCATTTTTGAGTATTTTTTGATTTTTGTAAAATTCCGATAAAATTATTTGTTTTTAAGATAATTCGAAAAGTACTGGTTATTGTTTGATGTCTTGCGGCTTACGGTAATCTCATAATGTTCACATACTCCTATTTATTTCGTCGAAATTGGAAGAGGGCGTATCTTATTACGTACGGAAGGGTGAATATGGAAATACCGGGTGCTCAGAGCGAATGTATTAAAATAATTTTTACACTTTTAAATTTTTTTTTTTGTAAAAATTATTTTAGTACATTTGCTCCGAGCACCCGGTATTTCCATATTTACCTTTCCGTACGTAAAAAGATACGCCCTCTTTCAATTTCGACGAAATAAATAGGAGTATCTGAAAAACAAATGATTCAATCGAAATTTTACAGGAAACAAAAAATACTCAAAAATGATTGAACACTTGAAGGAAAATAGATAGGAAGTCATTAGATAACGTACAAACAAAATATGGGGGTAAGTGTGAACTTGACCCCCAGTATCTTGAATATTTGACAGTTATTTTCTGTTTTGTTTTCCTCACACGATGTAACTCTTTGTGCTGAAGTAATGTACCTATTTTGAGATTAATATCTTATTAATTACGCGAGTAATTAGAAAAAAAACAGTTTTTAATTTTCAACTTTGACACCCTGTATATCGAATAAGAAGGGCTAAAATGAAAAATTGTATTTAGAAACTCATATTATTTTTGTTCTAGGAATATATGGTTAATGGATTGACCTCCTTTTAGCGGACACCCTGTATAATCCGTACAATATCCGTGCAATCTCCTTCTTCCGAGTCTCCTCAATTTATGGCATTGTTATTTTTGTAATACATCTTTGACTTATATTAAATGGAATAATATTCTCGATGAGGCTTCTCAGGACTCATTAATCAATATTGTATGTAGAACAATTATGTAATATAATTAATCATGGCCTGATGTAAACGAATCCATTCCCCCTTCTGCATGACATTCTGTCACCGTTCCACAACGCGAACATAAAAAGATGGAAATGGGTCTCTTGCGTTGCAGCCACGATCAGTGTTTTGCGGAAAGATATTCTATAAACAGTACTGGAAAAATCCTATGTTTATTTTCTATCGTGTAACGGAAGTACTTGCGTTACGTTGCGTTATTGTATCAATCAGGGGTCACACTTCATTGCGAAGAAGACTAACGTAATCTCATTCAAATTAGATTCTGTAAACCTAAGTCTTCAGAATCATGTCATCGAAATTAAGACGTCCACCAAATTCTTGGGATTATGGATTGATAGTACCACATACTTCTCAACAAAAAATTTGATTCAGGCTGTTATGCTGTCAGGGTCATTACCAATGAGCATTAGTTGAGTCGCATTTGAGGTATGGTATAGCTTTTTGGGGTATATGTAGCAAGCAGATGATACAATCTGTATTTGTTCTACAGAAAAGGGCGGTAAAATATATATATCTGGAGCTAAGCGTTTGGATCACTGTAGACCACTGTTCATTAAGAATAAAATATTAACAATTTATTGTATCTTCATTTTAGAAATAGTATGTCTCATTCAAAAGAGACAATTTTCCTTCAGAAAATAAATATGACACCCGGCAAAAAGCCAATATACCTCTGCCAAAACCAACCTCAACGTTGACCAAAAATGTAATTATATTCAATCTTTGGAAGAAGTCCATCGTAACTCAAAGTGGAGTGGTATATTTCATAGATGAAGAAACCCAAAGTCATCTACACAACATTTATTTGACGATCACATGTTTCGGGCTTATATAAGCCCATCATCAGCCGAGTACAAGAATTAGTTCTAGAAAAACCAACAATGACATAGGATATAGATACAATGGATACTTACAATAAAATGAAAAAGTTGAACTTTTGATAATTTAGACAATAAAATGGCACGAGACAAAGACGTATGCACCATGATCGGGAAAACAATGGTTTGGATGATGTGAGAGAGAATAAATTGAAAACTTACTAGGTATAATAAAATTATTTGTTTCTTATTTATTTATGAAAAGGGTCGGGTTATTAATTTTATAAGGGCACGTGGGCCTGCTTTTATTAAAAGAAATAATTTTATTATACCTAGTAAGTTTTCAATTTATTCTCTCTTACATCATCTAAACCATTGTTTTCCAGATCATGGTGCATACGTCTTCGTCTTGTGACATTTTATTGTCTAAATTATCAAAAGTTCAACTTTTTCATTTCCATGTTAGTAAGTATTCATTGTACCTATATCCTATGTCATTTTTTCTAGTACTAATTCTTGTATTCGGCTGATGATGGGCTTATATAAGCCCGAAACATGTACCTCTATGTGATCGATCTGATCGTCAAATAAATGTTGTGGAGATGACTTTGGGTTTCTTCATCTATTCAATTATATTTGAGAGTCGGAAAATCTTTGATCCTCTAACGGCTGAACTGAAAAGTATGAGAGACTTAAAAGCATTTCGAAAGCGTGTAAAAAAACATCTACTTTGATACTTTCTATTGTCCAATATATTACTTTATTTATGTATTTCAAATTCGAAACAAATTCATATTTTGTCGATAAGAATTTTTTTTCGACAATAAAGTATATTTTGAATTGAATTGAATTGAAGCGACGTGACACGAGGGCAAATGATTGATAGTCTGCCGCCCGCCTATATTTCGAAGTAGACTCGCACCGCTGTGCTGGGAAGGTGCCGCGAGAGATGAAAACATTTTGCCGGAGGATCTTGTAAGGTTATGAAAATGCTAGAACTGTATATGGTGTTTCCACTGATGCGCCTTTATTTTGCCTAAACTTGACGGCAATAAAGAGTTGAAAATCGCAATATAAGGTTCTTGTTTAATCTTATTATGATAGATGTCGCTGTACGAATTTTCTTCAAAATGGAAATAGAAACTCAATCATCAGAATTTTATTAAACAACATCAAAAGTGAACCTACTTACACCATTTCTGTATTTTTTGTCGTATCAGTGATTGTTGGTATTTGATTCGATTGAAAAAAATTCAAAATATGACGATATCAGCGCCTCTTGCGGCTTTTCTATGAACAAGGACCTTATGAGTGTCGTCAGTTTTTTTTCGTAGAATTTCACATTCACATTTCCCACAGCCTTTACTGTTGAAAGGAGCACAAGCCGGTCCAGTCAACACAATTTATTGTATTATTTTACGCAGATTGTGTTCTGCCAAGGACCCGATTTCATGACCCTTTGCGCGTAACAAGTGCATACTCACCGCACCAATCTTACATTAACTCTGTTCATTGTTACGAAATTTAAATGATCATAAAAGCTTGTCGCGCTATTTACTTGTGTGAATAAACTAGTACTAATCAAATTTTGTAAAATCTGCTGAGTTTAAATTTTAAAAGTTTCAATTTAGTTGAATATTGATCATTGCGACAAGCTTTATGGTCATATGAATTGTGTATAATGAGGTTATAAGTTGATAGTTAAAATTATAAGGGAACATTCCATTTAATTCTTTTAAGAGCGTTTAAATAAAAGCTTTTTATTAAAAATTATTTTTTACTTCTAATTTATTGTTTAATTTCAAGTTATCGCTGGATAGGTTCCTCAGTCTGTTCATTTCATTCAACGCATCATTGTTGCAAGGTCGTTTGCCGATTAATTTCGAACAGTCCAGCTCTTCAAAAAGGAGACCTTCTACTGATTTTACCCTACAAAGCCACGTATGCTTGACCAGAATGTCGAGCCTAAGTAAATAACGGCGTAGTCGACAGTATTACCTTGCATTTTGTGTACTGTGCAAGCCCAACATGATACAATTGGCAGCATTCTTCGTTCCGCGGTCCGCGACTGTATTTTTCTCTAAATTGCACAGACTTTATTGAGCCCTTTCATTTGATACCATTATTTTCAGAGTTACTCTCAACAAGTCCTTCCATTTGATACCCATATTGTAGAAGTGCATTAAAAATAACTATTACGCCGTCCTGGATGGTCCGCCATATCGGATTTAAAATGACATCACATTATTTTTTGAGTTACTCTCAATCAGTCCTTTCATTTGATACCCATTATGTGGAAGTGCATTAAAAATAACTATTTCGCCATCTTGGATGTTCCGCCATATTGGATTCAGAATGACGTCACATTATTTTCCGAGTTGCTCTCAACGAGCCCTTTCATTTGATATCCATATTGTAGAAGTGCATTGAAAATAACTATTTCGCCATCTTGGATGGTCTGCCATATTGGATGCAGAATGACGTCACATTATTTTTCGAGTTACTCCCAACGAGCCCTTTCATTTGATACCCATAATGTAGAAGTGCATTAAAAATAACTATTCCGCCATCTTGGATGGTCCGCAATATTGGACTTAGAATAACTTCACACACCTTATCGTGCATTGTCATCCAAACTAAACGTGTATACAAAATTTCAGCTCAATCGGTTGAAGATATCTACTTCAAAATTGAGTTCCACCCGAACTAACATACATACATACATCCATACATTGCAACTTAAATAAAAGCATTTAATTTAAAAAAAAGGACTCACCTTCACATCTAATTGATGTATGGCACCCTTGTATTCATTAATCTTACCAATGAAGGTTTTAATTTGTTGATCAACATCGACTTTCTCGGATTTAACTTCGTTTTCCTTTTTGGTCAATTCTGCTACTTCTTTTTTTATACCTAGAAAATCGATACGAACATTTTGAAGAATTACAGAATCTCATATTGTTATATCACGAATTCATCGCCCTCTAACCAGAAACAATTTACTAAATTCTCGGGAATTTAGGAACGGTAATGAAGTTGGTTCATATGAACAACTTTATATAAAAATATATAATATAATACAGGGTGAGTCATGACTAACCAGCTATAGCCCAATGGCGGATAGAGGTGAGTTGATATATATGTGAAAAAATATATTATGCATATTTGTAACAGAAATACAGGGCATTATTTGAATTCGCGGCGAAACTCTGATGAACGAAATTCACCAGCAATTTCCCCCTACTGACACACCCCACGATGGCTTACTACTTGGCCGGACTAGGAAAACTCATTTTTATATTAAATGTCAAAACTTCAACTTTCTGAATTGTATTTTTCAGAATCAGAAAGATCAGGAAAATAACTAAAAGTGTAGCTTTTCAATTTGTACGGCACAATTCGACCAAATTGCTGAAAAAATATCAAAAATCAACAACTAGTTTCATGAATGTCCTTGCAGTTTGAATAATTTCTCAAGCTGTGGAAAACAACATTTCTGAATCTTGTAATAAGGATTGCAACTGTTTTGATCTGTTGAACTTGAATATGTAAAAATATACAGGGTGTTCCATTTTAGAAAACAAAGTTGCTGGCATTTCCAGAAAAATCGGAAGTCGACCATATTGGATTGTAATGTGATCAAATCCGAAATGGTTGCTTATATAACTGTACCAAATTTTAGAAAAATCTGTTCACGAATGCAGAAGTTACAGTGGTGGCCCAATACCCTGTGTCACCCGGTATATGCACTTATTTGCGAATTTTCTTCTCATTATTCTATTTATATTATCTGTACAAAACATCTGAATTCCAGACAATATAGACGTTGAGTTGTGATCGAAGAATGCATTAAGTACCTACTGAATGAATACCGTGTATATACGTGAATGTTAAATTTTTTCAAGTTATGATTTTTGTTGAACAACTTTTTAATGGATGATGAATCGAATTATTACCCTGCAAATATTTTTCTAATGAGATACCTATTTTCAAATTACTTGTATCTTTCTAGTATCGATCTCTAGTTTACTCGTATGTCCAAAAGAAGGGAATTGTTCAATAATGAACAAGATAAAATTGGAGAATTCGTTTCCTATTACGAATTTAGCTATAATGCACTAGATATTTCAAATTCTTGCACCACTTGCCCCCAACACTAAGTGGCAGGGATGGACAAAAAAAACATATGCGTTATTCTAAATAAATTTTCGTTATCTTATACTGTTGGCGGCAAATATACCTGCGTTCAAATTATGTATGTTTACCTCTTCATAACTTATTTGTTGTTGAAAATGTTCCAGTTAAATCCATTCAGTAGCATAAGCAAGGGTAGATGATTCTTTTCCTGTGCCCATTTGGGGTTACAGGGTATTTTTTCCGCGTTATTGAGTTCAAAGTGTACATGTGCTTTCAAAGTCGAATCTAGCAATTTCACTGGCTATGACAAGGTTGTAGTTCGACCAATTACAATTCAGGATGTGTCAGAGAATGAATACTCAATAGAAAGCTCTCTCTTGACTCTCTCTCCTGCTGATCTCTTCTTGGTGTTCGCCTGTCACTCTCCGACCGCGATATTTTAATCCAGTGTAAAGTATTGTATAGTGATTTTGTGTTGGACATGAAAGTTGGTACACTGTATATAATTTCATATCATTCTTGTCGTTTTGTCATACTCTATAATTACCAGACCTGTATAGTGTCCCGAAAAGCTCTAGTGTTATTCGTATTTTGGAATAAACGTTTTTGTGCTAACATTCGTTTGTTTTTTTGTTTCCAATGTTTTATTTGATGTTTTCATAATTTTCAATATTCTCAGTTGTCAAATAGTTTTGGTTATCTTCTTCTTTTATGGTCGGAGCACGAAAGTAGAGATATATGGGACTATATGTATGTTCTTAGGCAATGTTCCTGTCGTACTTCTATGTTCGGTATTCGAGAATTGAGAATTTGACATTGCGAAAAGATGATTAACCTAAAAGAATTCTGATGATGAATGGATACGAATTGTATCTGTTTGAGTCGTTTGGAACTGTGTTTCTGATTCTCCAGGAAAATTTAATCAAATTGTTTGAATAAATAATTTTCCAGGCGTAACTTAAAAACCCCCTAGACTGTTTTCGACAAGGAGTTGTTTTGATTCCGGCAATTATTCAACACGGCTTTTTAATTGAAGCCTACATTCTCTCAGCTCCTTGAATCCAGGTCTTCTTACAAATGATTCTGACCCAGGTCTCATCAATAACATTGACCCATGACCCATGGTTTACTGTAGGCACCGTCTGTGCCATTCTTCACTGTTGCTACCCAGGCCTCCACACAAAACTCAGTTTGTAGGAGTACGTGAAGTAAATCACCGTCATAAAAAATCTGGCGGCGCCCGAGATATCCGGACAGCGGCAAGGTAAGGGCCCCACATATAGAGCTCCTCACAGTAACATAAAAAACGACTTTATGACGCCCTGTCCAACGATTTCGTTGTCAACCGCTATGTTTACATCTATGACTGGACTATCGCGTTGGAAAGTTGAACTTCGTGAGTTCGACAACCGGACCGATAGCGATCATGCAAAGTCGATCATTTATATAGGTGACTCTTGTCGCTCCTGTTTAAAATTTGAATAAATTCTTTACTTAGAAGACCTCGAAATTTCATGAAAATTGTGAATATTGAACATTGTAAACATGTGAAAATTGCTACCTGAATATGATTCTTCTCCTTCAGCTAACTGTTCTCCAATCTCTGCAATACATTTCAATAGGTCTGCAGCATCTTTCTCAATTTCTAATCTTTCCTCTTTCATTTGCCTCAGTTTTGTTTCCATGTCTATAACATCTTGTTCCATAGTTTTTATTTTATTTTCAGATTTTTTAGAATTTCTGGAATACAAAATAGTTATGAAACCATAGTTTCAAGACAAATTTTGAAATCATCCTTCTTATTCGGCTTTTCAATCATTAATTTTCTCTCATATTCAACAAGAAAATCAACCTGTATATAATATGTATTTATAGACCACCATCTTGTGATGTACAAGTTTTTGTAGAAAGGCTAGAATTACTATTGTCTCAGCTACCACTCAACTCAAATATCGTACTCGCAGGAGATTTTAATATGGACTTCAAAACTGACTACTCGGTTGGTAAACAAACGCTAACCTGTATGCTCACTGGATTCAATATGTCTATGCATGTAAATTCACCTACGCGGATTACAAACAAGTCAGCCACCATAATAGACCTTGTTTGTTCAAACCTAATTGAAGAAAACATCTCATGTTCAGTATCCCCTGCAGGCTTATCTGACCATGAAGCAGTGTTATTCAATATGTCATTCAAAACTAAGAAGTCACATAAGAAATTCAGGCATGGTAGAATCTACAGTGGCAAAAATTATGATAGATTTAGAGAACTTTGTGAACAGGTCAACTGGAAAACCATTTCAAATTGCAACCAGCAACTCGATATTTTTCACAAAAATCTGATAGAAATTTTCAATAAAGCCTTCCCCTTGAAACCATTGAAAGTAAAAAATAAAAAACCCTGGATAACCAAAGGCATCAAGACCTCAGCTAACAACTTACGCTCATTACATCACATCAGAAAGTACAACATGTCCAACACATTTTTCACTGCCTATTTCTATAAATTTCGTAGCATCTATAGACAAATTATAAAAAGAGCAAAAGAAAATTACTATGAGGTTAGACTCGACAATTCAAAAAATAAGCCAAGAGAAAATTGGGCCATAGTAAATGAACTCAGAGGTAAAAATACCAAGAATTGTGCGAAGATTGAAGTGAGTCCTAATGATCTGAATGAGTATTATTGTACCATTGGTCCAAAATTAACCTCGACCATCAGTCCTAAGAAAGATCCTATGTTTTTTCTCGAGAAAGTCAATTTGTCTGGTGAATTTTACTTATCGCCCATAAATAAAGAGGAGCTGAAAGAAACTATAAGTGAAATAAAAAACAAAAAATCATCTGGTATCGATAATCTATCTGCCAAGATTCTAGAAAATCTGCCTGAAAATACTTTAACTGCCTTGGTCCACGCAATAAATGAATCCTTCTCGACTGGAGTATTTCCTTCCTGCTTAAAAGTTTCTGTAGTTATTCCAATTCACAAAGGCGGTGACTTAGATGATCCGTCAAATTTCCGACCGATCTCTTTGCTGTCCACCTTATCGAAAGTTATTGAAAAATTATTTAAAAAGCGACTATTGACATTTCTGAAACATCAACATATTTTAGACAGAAATCAGTTTGGCTTTCAAAGAAACAAAAATACTAACGATGCCATTTTCTCCTTCTTAGAAAAGGTATATCTTCACTTGAATACAAATGAAGCTGTAGCAGCAGTTTTTTGTGATTTTTCTAAAGCATTCGACTGCGTAAATCACAAAATACTGCTGCAAAAGCTATTCCGTTATGGTTTCAGAGGAAATTCCTACAATTGGCTGCAGTCTTATCTCACAGGTCGTAATCAGATTGTAAGGACATGTGGAGAATCTTCAGAATTCGGTGAAATTTGTTGTGGTGTACCACAAGGATCTGTGCTGGGCCCAATTCTCTTCTTGTTATACATAAATGATATAACTTCCATCAACATAAGTGGATCATTTACGCTCTTCGCTGACGACACAACACTTCTATGGAATAGCCATAATGTCGATGAATTAACTGGGACTGTTCGTGATGATCTGCTAAGAGTTAAAGAATGGTGCGACTGTAACCTGCTCTCACTGAACCTATCCAAAACTAATATTATGACATTCAAATATTCTATAGATAATCTTTTACTGTGTCCACAGGTTATTATCGAAAGTAAACCTAACTGTAAATTTCTTGGGCTACATATTGATGACAGATTGAAATTTGATAGCCATGTGATAAACCTGAGTAAAAAACTAGCATCGGGATGCTTCGCTGTTAGAGTAGTTGCAAATGAGTTAGGTGTTGCTGTTGCAAGAATGGTATATTTTGCGCTGGTGGAATCGCATTTACGGTATGGGGTCACTTTCTGGGGAGTTTGTAACCAGCAATTATTTAATTCTATATTCGTACTACAAAAAAGGGCTATACGATACATGTGTAAAGGAAAATTTCGCGATCACTGCAAGCCCTTGTTTCAGGCTCATAACATTCTCACATTACCATCTATCTTCATCCACGAAACTGTTTGTCTGATACACAAAAAATATTCTGAAAACGTAAGCACTGAAGCACGTTATAACACCAGGAATACATCCCACTTGAACCTGCCTATCCCAAATTCTAATCTCACGAAGCATTCGATCATCTACAATAGCAGAAAGATGTATAACCATTTACCATTAGCCATAAGAACTATTCCTCTACTCAGTAAATTTAGACAGGCTGTGAAAGAAATATTAATGAAAAAAGCATATTATAATCTCCAGGAATTCTTCAACGATAACGATCTTAACTGAGAGTACGCGATAGTTTTTAATTTGATGAGACATCTTGATTCAAGTCTTGATTTTATGTATATATAGATATAGATAGATATATTATAATTATACATATGTTTTATTTGACCATATACATTGTTGTGATATATTATTTTAATTATGTTTGTATTAATTTTATGTTTATATGTGTGTTTCTTTACTTCACACTGTTTTTATCTTTCGTGACGTGTCTTATTTATTATAAGACTCTAAATGAATATGTATGAATTATCTTTGTCGATAAGAAATTTTTTCTTTGACAATAAAGTATATTTTTGATTGATTGATTGATTGATTGATTGATTGATTGATAATTATTGATTATAAATTAATGATCACAAGTCAACTGAAAATGTGTAGTAGCTGTGTCAGATGTTATAAGATTAGAAATATATATTTTCTACGGCTATAACACTAAATTGCTCTTGATTTACTGGTTTCGATATATCAATGAAGTACATGGTGTCTGCAATTTCAAGCAATGACAGCTCTGTCTAATATAGCACTACTTAAGAGAAAATCAGATGGCTGCAAGCCAAAGGAATAGAAAATTCGCTTTAATCTGCTATAGTATGAAATCAAGTGATTTGGTAACATACGATATATTGAAATGTGTAAGATATAACTAGATTAATACTGACGTGAGTCAGGTATATTGTGAATAATAAGGATATTTGTATGCTTATAAAAATAACTATATTGTAAACTGCATTTTATTTGGGATTGAATAAATCAGAATGATTTTGGATACAAAATGAGAATGGCCTTCATTTAATGAGCTTGTCTTAAGTCCCGATATATTAAAAATGCTTCAAGATGTCATATATGGGGAAAATATCAATTTTGATTGAAATATCAATAATATACCATCGATATTTTTTAAGAAATATATCGAATTTCACTTTTTTAGAACCAAATGGTATTCAATTTCATGTGTTGAACAGTGAAATACCAAATTATTAAAAGACTCTTTACGAACTAGGATTTTTGCACAAGTTTATTGCAAGAACGAAGTCATTTCCTATCTAATCAAATAAATACATGAATAGCTCTTTTTCTCCTTTTCTGGTTAGGTATACTGGATAAAAGGATCATTAGATTTGAAATCATCTAATATTCCTGACAGCTCTGACAAAACACCATTTTGATAATCATCCAAAAAGTTTGCATAGTAAAACCTGTCATCATTTTCAGAAGTAGAAAATTATAAAAATATGTTGCTGGTGGTGAGTAAATTAGATACTTTTTAGATCTCATGAACATATATTTATTTCATGCAGAGAGAAAAAACAAACATTTTTGTGACTTTCTACTACTGAAAATGATGAAAATCTCGTTGAAAATCATGCATTTTTATTTTGGGTCAAATATCTCGAAAAATGATCATTTTAGCTTGGTTGGGGGTGATTTTTAAATAAAATTCACAATGAATTCGGGCAATTGAAAACAATGTAAATTGCATCATTGGCGTTGAAAATAAAGGAAAAAAGGAGGAAGTTACAACTCCCTGTAGAACCCCACTAAATGAGATGTCCAAAATGTATTTCTGGTCAAAAAATGACCTATTCAAAGATGAAACCAGATACCGAATTGGAATGCAAAATATTGTATCATTCTTGAGTTATTTCACAAAAACTATTCTTATTTCCCAACTTCAACACCCTGTATCTCGAGAACTGAACACTATCACCTGTCAAGCGTGTCGGTCGAATTTAGATACACCCTACATACATCAACAGTTATGTCTAAGAAATAATTTTTGTGTTCTTGTATTCCCACTATTAGACACGAGAGCTGTTTTTTGTGGAAGTAAACTTGACATTTGAATGTGAATTTTTTTGCCTGGAAATTAAACGAAAAAAATTTCCTTCGAAATAATTATGAGTCCGTAAAACGAGTAATTTTCCCTGTCAGTTTGAGTATGCATGTAGTTATTTTTCCAACACAATAATATGTAGAATCTTTCAAGAATTTGAATGATGAAATCGGTTGAAACATTCCTACAAAAATGACAGAAAATTGAAACTGTAGGATATGAGCAATATTATTGATGAGTACTGATGATGATAGCTCCGATTCATATTTTCAGATGGAATGCGATTTTCATCGTTACAATTCCATTCTAAATCAGAGTTTCTAAAAAACGGATGATGAGAAAATATAATTTGCACATCGAACTTTCTCACCTTTCAGCTGTTGTCACGGCTACTCTTAACCGAGTAATCTCAGCTTTACACTTATCAATTGTTTTAGTAGCCTCACTTATATTCTTATCAACTGCTTTCATCTTTCCAGAAGTTTTTTCTTTAATTTCGTTGGTAACTTCATCAACCTGTACCTGCAAAGCCCCTGCTGTCTCAGCAGCTGTTTCATAAAGTTTTCTTTTCTTTTCAACTATTTTCTCAAGTTTTTTCACTTGTGCCGGGTCTGATTTCGTAGCTTTAGCTTTCTTTTCCTGCTCTTCGAGTTGTTTTTCTAACTGAGGTACATGTTGCTGTAGATTCTGAAATTGATGATCATCATTAACAGATTCATTTTTAAATGTAAAAACTCCACAAACGATAAGATTTTCACAAAATTCTTAATTATACGACTTGTTTCTCTAGCACAGTAGCTTTTTCAGGTGAAATACTGGTACAATAAACTAAACTTACATTAAGTAGCCTAACTTTTATGTCCTTCTTTCCCAACCTTAAGGATTAGGAGACCTGTGGAAAGGTACGCTAAGCCTTCATTTTCGGAGAGCGATAAAAAACAACTTTATTATTTCCAAGAAACAACATTTGATTATAGCTGGGAACATGGTGAATATATAATAGTAGATTGTTTTATTAGGATCAAAAGTGACACTTTGTTTGACAAGCGAATTTTGCATTTGCGAGGCGGAGCGTTTAGCGAAGCCGAGCGAAAGCAAAATTTGCCTAGCAACATACCTATTTTTGTGTCAGTAATAGAAACCTCAATTTAAGAGCTAATTTTGGTATCAAAATGGACGACTTTTGTGTCGGTTGCAGAAAAATATATTTAACAAAATAAAGTAGACAGTAAGACACTCGAAGACATCCTTATTTTTGTTAGTTCAACTGAAAATGATTCTCAATTGACTCAGAAAGATAAGGTGTCAATATTACTGGAGTAGATGGAACATGTTTCGGACATATGCAACGCCATCTTCAGCCTATGCTAAGAAGTCATGGAAATGATAAGGTAGTTCAACTGAAGGAGCAGTGACAAATGAAACTACCAGGCGAAAAGGATAATTTTGTTTGTATAATTTAATGGAGAATAAAGATTTGGAGGTTGAGGATTCATGATAGTTAATCTGAATTTTTCGGTTTCCTTGAAAATTGATTAGAATGTCATCAAAAAATTGGAAAGAGTTGGTGGGATCATGTTTCAATATGAAACTTGAAAATATGTGGAATCAATTCCTCATTACAGATTTCATCAATATATTTTTTTCCGAAGCAGTAAGGTTTATGGCTTCCATAAAAACGTACCTCGCTGACCTTATAGTGGGACACCCTGTATAAATAAACTGATCAAGGTACTCTACCTACTACAACTGCTATCATTGAAATGAGTACTCACTTCCAATTCCATGGAGAACTTTTCAAAATCAAATTTCATTTGTCTCAATTCGGGTTGCAGTGTGTTGACCTGATTCTCTAATGACGTCTGATTTTGTCTCATTTCTCTAACATGCTCTTCCAGTTGCTGAATGGTCTCTTCCAAATTTTCAAGTTCTCTTGGATTGACGTTCGATACTCGTACAGACTGTCCCATCCTACCTTTACTTACTGTTTTGCCACCTCCACTCATTGTGCCTAAATACCAATGAAACAAATGATAAACAGATACAACTCAAGCCTGAGCACGTCGTCACCAACAAACATCTGTGAGCACTACCTAGTAAGTGAATGACTGAACATTTGAGAAATGGAGAAATCTTACTAATAATCATAGCAATGGTTCTGAATCATTGATGCTTGCATGCATCCCGAAATGAACGTCTTTTTTAATTTTATTCAGATAGATTTCTTACAAAAGATTTTTGTTTGTGGTGTTTCCGCTCCCGATGTCCTTACGGGAAATCAAAGGTAAAGTTTTTCATTATCCCTATACTATCAAAAATTCGAGAAGTCATATAAAAAACGATGAGTTGAGTATCTGGAAAAATATAAATTGTTGAATCCTGGGCAGTTTGGTTACAGCGCTGGCATGTCCACACCACTAAAGCAATCATCGAACTTGTAGACTTTGTATCTGATCAGATGGAGGAAGGGAATTCTACAGTGGGCACGTTTATCGACCTGAGTAAAGCCTTTGATTATGTATCTCATAACCTGTTGACACATGAGTTAGAATCTGATGGTATAAGAGGCACTGTGTGTACCTCAAGGTTCCGTCTTAGAACCAATCTTATTTATTATCTACGTGAACAACATATAAAATCATATTGAGAACAAAGGAGTGATCTTTGCAGACGACACTACTTTGATAGCACCATGCAAGACTATTTCAAACACCACTACACTATCGGAAGATATGATTTTCCAAGCTAAGAACTATTTCAAGTCAATTCAATTCTGTATGAATCAAGAAATATCTACAATATTAAATTTCAGCTTAAATTCAATGGTTACATCTCTAAATGAAATATCTAGAAATTCACATGGACAATAATTTGATTTGGACAATATCTTTTTTCCCTGGTACAAAATAAAAGACGATTATTATTATCATTATTATATAGCCAAACTATCTAGCAAACTTACTTCAGGAAGCGTCAATTATTATCTTTATTATTCCCAAGAAACATATATGTTTATAGCAGGGAAAATTATGAAAGAGCAACTAAAAAAACATAAATTAGATAATCAGATAATCATTTTTAAATCATATACATAATACATATAATGTTGTTTCTGAGAGCATTGTATTTCTTCCTTAAATGTCTACCAAAAAAATGAAGGAAATTAAACTTGGAAAAGTTAGTGAATGAGTACGCAAATAAGTTCGAAAGGGTAAACTCGGATAGGAACCTCAAAAGTGTAGGTATTCAAGAATGCTCGAAAGACCAAAATATTGCTCTTCCAAAGAGTGATAGGTGTCCCAAATTTCAATTCATTATTTTGGAAATTGTAGGAAATCTTGAACCTTGGAACCCTGTATATCGAAAACAAAGCTCCCACGCAAATAAGTTTACGTTGAATTTTTATCTTGAAAAAATGTCTTCTTTCAGCTGTTAAAGTCTTGCCTCAAAAAACTGACTCATCCTGTATATATAAATTGTCTTCTATCACACAGATTAAACAACTACTGCTACCACTTTCTTTTCTGGCTATATGCAACGACGAACATTGAATTATACCTATTGAACACACACGATCGATAACACTCTGAAAATAAAATCCTCTGAAGTTGAGAATTTGCATTCTCCATCAGATAAAAATATACATGCACACGCCCTATATGATGAATATCAATTTGTCTTACATCCAAATACTACTACTACTACTACTACTACTACTACTACTACTACTACTACTCATTGAATGATTTTCTCATCGGACGTACGTACGTCAGGGGCGGAAACACTACAGAGGGAATTCTTGCGTTCAACATTGATATAAATTCGTAAAACATGTATGCGAATTTTTATTTCAAAATTGTAGGTATATACAGTTTCCACATAAAATTAACATAGAGACAACCAAGAATAGAGAACAATGAGGTTAATTCAAATTTCCTATTTCAACTTCTCCGAGCCTTGTTTCCTAAATACAAGGGTTTTTTTTTAATCAGCTGGCGAAAAGATTAATCAAATCCTAGTCAAGACACGAAAAAATAACTGTTTCTCGAAGATTGAAATAACCGGATATGAACACGTTGATATTGGAATGTGGAAGTTCCATCGAAAACAGAGAATATGGAGATTATTTACCACACTTAATTTCAGGTATCCATTCATCAAAGTCTCCAATACCAGTAATGATACACAGATAATTAAGAATTCAAATTCATCAAAATATTTCCTCTGGAAGCGTACTGAAAATTGGTTAAAGTAGGCTTAGATGCAGGATCAACAATAGGTATTTGTTATACTATATCAACTTTTTCAGAGAAAACTTGGAAGTAGGAGACATATCGCAACTTTCCCTCCCGGATGGAACGCAACACGTACTTTATATAAATGATTAATAATTATTTTTCCATGCGGCGCTTAGGCGTACATGATTTTCAGTTGAACTATTGCTGACTTTTCAATAAAATATACCAAATAGAGTTAAGAATTGCGATATTCAGATGTTTCCTTACTGATTTTTCGTTATTTTCCAATATTCAAAATATACTTCCACATTTCAATTTCAAAATATTAGAAGTCATTAACAGGGTCGTTTTAAGGAGCTGGAATTTCGGATATAACTAGTGAAATGAGTGTCAACAATATGGATAAATTTGATTGAAATATCACGGAGAAATATCTAATATTTCCTCCAAAAACTGTAGAAGCACCTTGTATAATACCGGAATCGAGACAGTTGTGTGAAGTAAAAATGAGTAATTTGAATTCATCAATTCATCTCAATATTGAATGGGTTGAAGTATATATATATATATATATATATAAATACCCTGGTTTTTAATTGAACGTCATTGAGAAATTAAGACATACCAGTTGTTTCGATGAGATCTCCATTGAGTGTCACTACCCTAAATCGTTGGGCCCCATATGCAATTCTAGAGGCTTGGTCTAAATCATTCGCAACAAGAGTATCTCTCAGTGCATAATAAAATGCTGTACGAACATCCTCATCTTGAATTGTCACCAAGTCATATAATCGATGTACATTTTCAGGTCTAAAAAAATCAAAATAAGCTATAAAAATAATATAAATTGTAAATGAATGCAGTAAATTATGTTTCCTTAGGCTATTAGTTTTCAGTCATTCTGGGAAAGAATTGTTAACTATTTAAATTTTCAGAAATAATTACTTCCTCATACCAGAATCACGTAGCAGATGTTCACAATTTACCAACAAAACCAGTAAACTGCAGCTAGTGTTTTTTTTTATGAGAGAGAGAGACTTCCAAAGTTTAGTCAGATAGCCCTGAAAGCTGAAGCCTGTATTTTTGGATATTTTATGGAAAAATGATGTGGCTCATGTAAACAAGTAGAAATACTCAAGTTATGGTCAGACTTGATTGAGCTAGCTCTCATTTTTTTAATCTCAATATAGTCGATAATGCTTCATGAATGATCTTATACCAGGAATTACTGTCTGATCATTCATGTCATTCCTGCTAGAAAATTAATTATACTTTATATATTATTTGTATGAAATGTATCAATGAAGAAAAGAATGTAATGCAATAACTGAAATAAAAATAAATAAAAATAAATAAAAATAACCTAACCCGCAATTCCTAGATCAACAGACAAGAAGATATCCTAGAAAGAAGCCAAAAAACGACCTCACGTCTCAGTAGCGCGATCTGCTCGACAATCAAAAAAAGTTATCCTCATCGGTATGAATGAACTATAAAAAAGTAATAACTGATTATATGAATTTGTATCAAAATGGGAATAACATGATTTCTATCTAACATGCTGTTAATTAAAGTTATAGTGTCTGAGGCTAGATACTAGGAAACCGATTTTGGAAGAAAATCGAAAATTTTAATTTTTAGAATTATAGTAAAAATAATAGAACAGTTAGGTCATGAAAATTCAAAGTAAAATTCTCTCAATTTTAGCAATTATGAACTGAATGATGCAGAAAAAGAATGGCACAGCTAGCCTTACGCATTTAAATCATTGAAACGTGAAAGTAATAATCAAAAGGACAATTAAGTTAATTTAGAGAACTTTACACAGTATTTGGTGTGATTGATGAAGAGAGTCAACACAATGCCATTAAGCTGAATGAACATGGAGTTAGGTTAGCGATTTCAGTCAAGTTGAACCCATGAAGAATGTTTTTAGTAAGATTTCCCTTATTTTAGATTATCTAGATCTCTTGCTCTATTAAACTGAGCTTGATTGTATAGACATGGGAGGTATAGTATTGACTCATAAACGTTAAATACAGAATATCATATAGGAATTATGAGGGATAAAAATAGAAGCCCGGAGGGGGCAGGAGGATGATCTAGCCTTCAGAGCCATCTAGTTGCTGGAGTGCAAAGTTGTATAAGTAGATTGACGTCTAAGCTTACAGAAAGACACCAAGTAACAATTCTGTAGACTATCGCAGCACCTGTGAATCTCAAAGTGGTTTAATGTTCCACTAACAGATGGTGATAAATCTAGAATCTTAAGACTGAGAGAAACTGGGATAATTCAGTGAATCGGTTGTCAGCTGATGAAAAACAGCTTGCAGTATTGCATGAAGTGACAATCGATTCAGGAAATTTTCCCTCGTTTCTATAAGTTTTGATATTCTAGGTCTATCACTATCTGAAATAATACCAAAAGTGCTCGATCAATTTGATCTTTTATTTCTTACAGAATTACTACTGATATTATTGTGATATCTTCTATTGCCGTAGTCTCCGAAATTATACTTTATATTATTGTGAGCAAAAATAGTTTCAAGGACATTTACGGGGATAAAACAACAACAATCTAACGAAAATGACTTTAACTGGAAGGGCTGAATGTCATGGCTTGTCTCAGACTATCGTCATCATCGATGACTTGGTCTGACTGACTAAATAAGTCATAATACTAAGGCACACCACTCTGATTGGTTCTAATCGTTTAGGAAACAGGAATATCGCACACTGAAGCAAATTTTCGTTTGCAATTCAAACAACATAACCATTGATGTGGGTTACTTTACGTCAAGGTTGGAAAACTCTTCCAAGCGTAAACTTTGGAAGAGAGATGTTTTTGAAAGGTTCACCTCATTCCCCATTTATATCTTATTGGAACAACGTGCAAATATCAATGTTCATACGAGAGATTTTTTGTTGAAGTGAACTTGACATTTCAATGAAATTTTTTTTGCCTGGAAATTAAACGAAACGAAAGTCTGTAGGATGAGTATTTTTTTCTGGCAGTTGAATATTCCTGGTACAGTGTATTTTTCGTTAATTAAATTAGAAATAGATGATTTCGTATAAACTAAAGAATAGCAGTATATGTGACGTTCACATATGGAATTACCTTCTGAATCGAAATGAAATTTTGATTTAGATTAAAATTCGATGGAAATTACAAGGAAAAGATGATCTTACGTTCGTATTTTAGCATTAGCCTGCTGCCTCAAATGCTCTTGTTTATCCAAAGCAATAAACGTTGCTCGTCCAAGATCATGTCTCTTCAGAAATTCTATACACCACTGAGCTGTACCAACAGTATCAACTATTATATTATCCAGTGGTCCACAAGCTGTCGAAATGGCCACATCATATTTTTTATCAATGGCTCCCAAATCACCCTGAAAGAGTCAAACAAAATTGGCTTGATCAGTATGTAGGAAAATATATAAAATGAAGAAAATCGAATGACAAAATGGAAATGTTACCAAAATAGGGACCTGGAATGAGATATTTGTCAAAAAGTGATTTGAACTGACGGACATCTGATTGGACAGATACAGATAGATATTCAAGGTTCTTCAAATAAAATTAATTTTCATGAACATAGTTATTCATGGTGCATATTGTGTTTATGAGTCCAATCAAAAAGTTTGTGCACTTCTTTAGTTTTTCGGTATTTCATAGCGGTTTTCATTGGGAATGAACTGGTGGAGTATTTATGCACTCAGTGTATATCCTGCTTTTTGACGTGTAGCAGAAAAAGAAATGTATATACTGAGTGCGCACTGTATTTACCAATGGAATCCGCTATCAACTTCTTTTTCGTGGCCGGACTCCCTCCTGAACTAATTTATTCGAGTTATTTGGAGGTCCGTAACACATAAACATTTGTATACATTTTCTTCTAATGACGAAGCAAATAAATATTACTGATATTTTTATTAGTTTCATGTGGGACATTCACATGAAGTTGTGATAGTGAAGAGATAGCAATACCGTTTCATTTCTTCAGTTGTGATGATGGTAATTCACCGGATGTATTTGTTTTATATTAATAATTGACCGGGTATTTGTTTTAATAAATTTGATTAATATCAGTAAATAACTGATAGCGTCATAGTGATAAGAATAGCACAGCACGGATCCATGTACTGCCATCGGCTGCGCAATAACAAACCGCTCACCCCTATTTGGTTCGAGTCAGATAACCTTTGATTATGGGAATCAAGAAATATATATTTACGTAACAAGTTAGGAAACGCTCGTTGGCCCACATAATCACGCAGTTACACAAAATTGCGTTTCCTAACGTGTTACCTACAATATTTTTTCTAATCTTGGCAAAAATGTTTCCCAAATTTATCAGATTGATAATTTTATATATTTCGCTTCCTTCATGTGACAGGATATCGCATTGGATTTTGGTTGATATAATGGGGAAGATCACTGAAGGATGAAATCCCATAGTACATTTAATCGAAATAACGTATTCAGAAATGCAAAGCTGTAGTGCATTAAATCATTACTTTAGGGGTAATACCTTAACATTACTAGGGATGCGACATGTTTCTTTTACCTTTTAGCTTAATGAAGCTTTGTTAGAGTTGCTTTTCAAACTCTGCTTTGAAAAAAGTTGATATACAGGGTGATTGGAAATTAACGTGATTGATCTATTAAATTGCTTGTCCTAGGTATTAAACTTTTCAATGAATTTGCATATTTATGGTACTGTACATTTAGAAGTTGAGTTGTTCCTGATTGTACACAGTTGATATTGAGTTTTAAATTTTAAATACCATTATTGAGTTTGATGTGAATATCTTCTGTGGTACCATTTCTTCACTGAAGGCTGCCCAGTACAGTGGACCTATCATTATAGTATAGGTGGCTCCCAAGTTATAAACGTTCGTAAATAATCATAGAACCCGCTTTGAAGAGCCAAGAATGAATCTGAGGCTAAAAACACATTTCTACCATGACGCGGTCACGCAGGTTCGGATCCGCTGGACCACCAATAAATGCGTCCAGCGAGTAATTTTACTAATAACATTATTTTGTTTTCGTTAGATAGGTGGATCTAAGTCAACAAAAAGGCATTGGATGAAAAACCCATATGATTGAAATACACTTCTCCAGGAAACTAACGCACATTCAAAAATGAGCCAAAAGTTTAGGAATCCTTTTCGTCAAAACTCCTTGTCCGATTTTCATATTTCTTGTTTTGTATGATAGGTTATTTCCTACTGAACATTGATGTGTAAACGGTATTCGCATGAAACCATCTTTTTTAAACATACCGGGTGCAGCGATTACAGAGTGTTTTTTTTTATTAAATTTGTATCTAGATTTATTATCATTATTATTCCCAAAAAACATATATGTTTATAGCAGGGAAAATTATGAAAGAGCAACTAAAAAAAACATAAATTAGATAATCAGATAATCATTTTTAAATCATATACATAATACATATAATGTTGTTTCTTCTAAAAAAAATGACAATTTTGTGGAAAATACTTGTGAGTTGACCCTAACCAACTTTTGTAAAGAAGGTATTTTAGAAATTTGTGGTATAAAGTTGCTGCTATTTAGCGGTATTCTATCAAACATAGATAATGAAACGAAAACGTACATCATTGGCGGAGATTTCAAGATCAATTTCTTGGTTTATAGTACCAATTTAACATTATTGTAAGACTTGCATCTTCTTATGAAATTGCTTAAGAATACCAACAAGGATAAAGGAAAACTCTATGACATGGACTGACCAAATATCAAACAAATTGATTAACTGTTGCTCATCTGAACTGTGTTCTATACTCACCTGCATAATTAATTTGTCAACAGAAAGAGGCAATTTTCCAAATAATTTGAAATTATCATCTCGAAACTATTTAAACGAACAACTAAACGTTTACTTTACCTCGATGAAATTATTATCACCATCCCGACATGGTTTCACGACTAATGAAAGCACTGATATGACTTTTCCAGTCAAATTATAACTGCCTTGGAAAATAAAGTGTGTGATTGGATTAGACTTGACTTTTCACGTGCGTTTGATTGCGTGAATCACAGCCTTTTACTGGAAAACCTGTCGAGATATGGAGCTAGATATAGCTGTAGGTACACAAATCAGTCAATGAATGTCGAATCAAATAAGTACTGTACTTGTCACTAGACTACAATAAACCACCTAAACTGAAGTGAAATACGAACTTGTCAATAATCTTAAATTCACTAACGAAAGAAAAACGCTAAGCAAAACAATGAAAAAGTGAAACTAATCCGGCTCTGTCTCAAGTCTACGTCAGACAAAATGACAGAGGTACATTCTTACACAGTTGCCATATAAACTTGTAACAAATTATAAGTTCATAATAATTCATCAATCTCTTGCTAGCCATTCAATTAATATCAGTGAGTATATGAGTTTTGTCGCGAAAATATTATATATGATTTTCCTAAAGCTGTTGATCATCAGTTACAAACAGTTTCATAAAAAATTTGAACTACAATGTTGCCGACAATGTGAGCATGATCACCGTTTGCGTAAGCACACTGGTTGTATCTCAGCGATTTGTCACACTTCCATTAGCCTTCTAGGTGTTTGAGTTCTGAGCTGTAGACAGATATGATTTTCTGCCCAGAGAACACCAGTCTGGTAACTTACCAGACGACCGTAGAGTCCAGGACATTTTCCTTCTCGTTTTTGCTGCATTAAACTATCCAGAACTTTTCCTCTGGACTGCGAGGCTTGCATAGAGCTCCGTTTTTCTTCCAGATGTGATCTATTCTTCCTGATCTCATTGATAACCTGAGCTTCTTCATATTTCACTTTATTTAAGTCATCTGTAGCTTCTTTCAATGATTTTTCAGTTGCCGGGATTTTCTTCTTCAACATACTGACCTGTTTTGTGCGTTCATTGATGGTTGATCTTGCCGTTTCATATTCTGTTTTCATATTCTCTAATTTATTTCTTTCATTTTCTTCATTACTAACATATATTTTCAGTTCGGACTCTGCCAAAGTGAACTACAAAAATTGAATGTGTTGAAAGCATGGAAAAACATAGTTATTAATTCTCACATCTGATTTAGTTTCATCAACCGTCTTTTTGAGTACCACCAAATCATTTTGCAGTTCTTCTTTCTTATCCTGGAGAGTTTTCGTAACACTACGTAAGCTAGTTAACAGTTTTGTCTTCTCCTCCTCATATTGTTCTTTTTTAGCCATAACTTGATCAGCTTTTGCTTCACATTCTTCGATACCCTGTCAAAATACACGTTCATTGAAATTGTTGGTAGAAAATTATTATTTCTCAAAATTCAGTTTATATAAACAATTATCAACAGATTGGGTTAGGATGATAATATAATCATCTGAATCAATAGACCAATTCAATGTTGGAAGCCAAGGGACGTTCCTACTAGCAAAATGAATGTAACAAGATATTAATTTTTTTGAAAACTCAGAAGTAACAAATTTTCAGGGTTCCAAGAGATTATTTATAACAGTGATTATAGATCTTATATGAAAGATTGACTATTGATAGCAGAATATCCCACAAACAGATATTATAATATGTTTATCCACGACTGTTCTATAAAATATTCATAATACATGTACTTCCTCAAGCATTTGACAAGGTAATCGAAAAATTCAAAAACTGCATTGAATGGCATTGAAGTACCTTCCTAATGAAATATAAAAAATCGATTACATTTGACAGTTCTCTGGCAGCTATCCCCTACTTTAAATTTTCAAATAGCACCCCCTGTATATGGTCATTGAGAATTACGTATCATCCTATGAGGAATACAAGGATAGCAAATCCTTGGTATTTTTGATTATTTAACATGAAGCAAGTTACAAAACGTTGATATTTTTGTTGTTATCAATAAAAAAATACCAAGTGTATGCTATCATTGTATTCCAAATTGAATAACACGTAATTTCCAATGACAAAATACAGGGGTGCCAATTGAAAATAAAAAGTGGGAGGAAGCTGCCAGAGAACTCTCAAATATAATAGATTTTTTATATGTCATTAGGAAGGTACTTCATTGCCATTCAATGTAGTTTTTGAATTTTTAAATTATCTTGTCAAATAAGCGAGATATTGCCTGTATACGATAACTTGGGAAACCCGGTATACATATATAAATATAGGGTGTTCAATTCAAGATTTATACACTTATTTCTGCTCCCTGTATATCTTATATATTATAAAATAGGATCCCTTATGAGGCTGATTCTTATTATTCTCCTACTGTCGAAAATAAAATTATAGGGGATGGTATTTTATAACGTGTCACTCGGTACAAACAAAATGTTCTTGGAAGTATTCCTGTCCTCCTTAGGTACGCGCGATGTTCCACAAACATTATAGTAATTTCCATTTATAGGAATTTCCTTTCGTGAGCTCCAAAAGATAAATATAAATGAAAAAAGCAATGTGAAGAAGACACAATATTATCATTAATCAGTTACCAATTTGTTTATGACTAAAATCGTCCATCATTTTCTATTTTTATTATTCCAGTTTCAATATTTCAGCTTGGAATAATTTAAAAACTAATGTTAATCTCATGAAGAAACTGAACGGGAATCGAAGGTTGATGTATGCAAATATAATTTGAATAAACAATGAAAACTTTATGAATAATAACTCACCATTCTACTTTCTTCCGGGACTTTTTCTAATTTCTCCAACTTCTTCTTTTCTTCAACTATCATCTCTTTGGTTCTCTTTCTGGTGTTATTCATTTGTGTCATGGTTTCTTGAAGTTGAATATCTTTGTTATTCGCTTTGTTGAATGCCTCAGAAATACCATCCCTTCTGCTTTCAAGGTTTCCATATTTACTAAAACGATGGTTATATTAGCAAACAATAACATAAATTCCATGGTATTTAGCTCATTTTACCCTCGAACCCAGACATTGATAATTATTACTAAGCGGGACTTTCCAATGTGTTCAGTCAGACCTCATAGTAGTAACTTGTTAAATAGAGGGATTGATTTTGTTCATTTCTGCGGTAAAGATATCACATTCTAAGAACCACTGTGGATCCGCTGCCAAATCGACAATTCAAGCTTATGACAAAAAATAACTTTCATAACAACATATTATAAATCTCAGGAACTCTCAGGTACTGACTAATGATTATGAACTACTTAGTTATTGTAAAGGGTACTCAACAAAATAGATAATATGAATTATTTCAAGATGAATGTGACGGCACAGCAAAATTTCGTAGTAGACGAGCGATAATCGTTGTGAGAAATGTCATTTGTCGTTTTTAATCTTATTAATGGTTTTCTGACTTGAGTTTACGATTTTTCAGTAGGTTATCCAGTATTTCAAATCTAAAGTACACTTTTTTGCGAATAAATATGGTTCGGCAGTGTCAAATTTGTAAAATGTCTTCCGAGTGTTCCTTCACGTAGAATTGGGATGGGATGGAATGTAGCATGATTTTTTTATCCCATCTTCTGATATTCATCATCTCCAAATGACTAAACATAGAAATAGGAGGAAGGTCGTCCGATCCCATAGGGCATAGACGAACAGGGAACATCGTTTGGACTCCTCCAACAGTGCGGACAATTCCCAGGGCATGGCTGCAGCAACAGCACCTCTTTAGAAGACGAAATTGAAAATCCTCATGGCGAAGTAGAACTTCGTTACTCTCACAGGTAAAATTGTAAATAATTTCCTTGTTACCAACACATGATAAAATACTTTTCTAACACATAGTTATACTGCAAGAATCGCTGGAGAGGGAAGACGAAGAATCATCCTCGACTAGTAGGAACATTTCAGTTTTCATAGATTTGAATGAGATTTTATATTATTCATTTGGTTTTGGACTACTTTGCTGTTATTTTTATTACATCAACGAGGAGAGAATCCTAAAAACCTAGATTAGAAGAATTGATCTTACAATATCATTCATTATGCGAAATAATCATCTCTGATGATATTGAAATCAAGAAAGATACATTTATGAGAGAATATTCATGAATAATGTCACTTGTAATGAGCTTCATAGTTCTAATATCAGTCATATGGAGAAATAGAAAATTCGGTCTGCTATTAAATTGATCATAGGCATTTACAACTTTGGATCAACCATCAAGGAGATATCATGAAATACATCGGTTTGGAGCACTCTTTATACTTTTTTTTATATTTTCTCACTTAGGAGGTAGTAGGACTTTTCTGAGGGTGATCCTGAAAGGGGTCCAATTAAACTGAAAAAGATACCGCTTAGTAATATTCTGTTATGGTTAGAAGCTACCGGGTCTTCAACAATGATTGAGTGCCACGTGACCATTTTTGATGCGGCGTTCCTTTTTCACCCACGTTAAAGGGATATACGAATGTATTCTTGGTAGCATAGAAAACTGTCAGGTGGTTTCGAATCATCGTTGAAGAAGGTATATAACTTACGCTGATTCTTGCTTAAGTATCTTCGCTTTTTCATGTTTTTCATCGCTCAAATTTTTCAGCTCAATTTCAAACTTCTTCTGAATTTCGAGTACCTTGTTTTTCTTTTCTTCGACTGATTCGACTTGTTTCTCAAGATTATATCTATAACAGTAGAGAACGTTCAATTAATGGTTGTATACTGGCACTAACGGGACTGATGTCCGATATTGATAGAGGAGGTACGATTTGTTTCAACTCATCTTGCCCAATGTGTTGTGACAATTGAGCTAACCGGGCACATATCGATCAACCTTACCAGTACCATCTGCTTTGAGCTTTCCAGATCAATATATAAAATAAACAAAGATAATTATTGCTATACACATAAAAATTGAATAAAAAAAGAGAATAGAAGAAAAAATTTACACACAGGGTGATTCAATCAATAGACGAGTTGACTATTTTTTTTTTATTTCTCAAATGTAATCAACACTCATATACGTTTCAATTTTATATTTCTATAGAATTATTGTTTTCAAACGGCTAAAAATTTACCGCGAATAAAAACTGACGCCACGATTTCGTAAGTAGGGATATACCATAGCACGGAAATATTAGTTATTCAATAATTCATAAATTCTCAATTATGTATTGGTAATATTCCTAATTAGCAATAAAAAATTGATTGTCTCGAAATGTTCCCTCATGATTTATGGCCTATTACTTATAATGAATGTGTGTAAATAATAATTCTCACTAGATGACATTTCAACCAGTTAACGTGATAACACGGCGTGGTCTTGTCAGTTCTCAGCATTCAGCACAATATTGCCAAGTCTCCAACATTTACATGGTATTTTGATATGGAGTATGAGAAATATTTGTACATGCTGGTTGCACGAAAAAGTCAAAAATGAATTATAATATAATTGGTTTCTCCTATTATGTTTTATTCAACGACAGGACTCTAACATCTTTTTGATAACTTGATTATAATTGGTGAGTGCTTCATAAGTGGGAATGGAAGATTATCTGACCAATAACTAAACAGCATAAAAACTGACGTCACCATTTATTCGACGTAATGACGGCCATGACGGTACGTTTGAAATCCAACAATATTGACCAACGCATAGACTCATTATTTACATTGAAAAAAGCGTGCGAAGTGTTGCAAAAATTAATTCAGGTTCCTAACGACACTCGCTTATTGCAAGGCAACCGATTAACAAATAGAAACTAATCCAATGAATTGGTGAAACTTTTAGGGCAGATGAAACAGTAATATCATTTGACCAATCGGATTTCCAGTGCCGCCTGTAGGGGGATATTATTGTTTGCAAGAACACTAATTTTGTCTCTCCACCGACGTCTTCAACAATCATAAAGAGTTTTTCAACAGATTCAAACATGGAATAGAGTCAACTTTAGCCAACAGATAATGAGGATGGGAGAACAAATTGAAAATATGTTGGTTATCTCTTTAACAAAGGAAGCTAACAGTAATAATAATGAAGTTCAAAATGTTCATTAAATATAAATTAAAATTATACATATTGGTATGGAATAAACAAAGTAAACCTTACGAAGTACAACTTTTAAGGTATGGAATGAATTGAATATTTCGAGACAGAAGTATTTGATAAATAAGAATGTATTTCTTGTTTTTCATTCAGCCATTGAATATAATTATCACAGTGCAGTAGTGTTTAAAGTTTCGTAATGGCATCTCTAGATATAGATATTGAATATTAATCAGAGAAGCAGATAAACTCCTTGAAGGGACTAACATCAGTTTTCGATTTGATTTTATGAATAAGGAATCAAATATATAACTTCTTATTTTATATAGATTTATATTCCGATGTTTTATTTTTGTTTCTTATATAATATAGCTCCATAATCGATACAGCTGTTGATATTGTTCAACTGCAAGAAGACCATGTGGTGCGTGTTGATGTTCAATAATTTGCTTGTTTCATGATCAGTTCTTACTGCCATGGCCAAGGATGACTCTACTTGGTATAGATGATATCACAGTTCCTAGGATTAAACCAAGTTGAAACTGAGAAAATTGGGGATGGATTTGGTTCTACCTCTTAGCTGGTTTGGAAATGATTTTGTATATGGAAAAACGTATTATATGGGTAGTCAAAAATATATAAGCAAAGCTTCTAAGAAAAAAATGTGACCTAAATTCTGTATCGAGAATTGCTCTAAAATTACAGTATATATGTGTGTTCAGATGAATCGCCGACCAAATTAAGATCACTTGAAGCGCCATCCATGGAGTAAGAGTATTTAAAAAAAAATAAAGCACAGTGTTACATTTAAAAAATGGTTTTGTGGTTTGTCACGCTTGACCCCTCGTAAAACTCCTGAAGACTGCCTTGAAAAAGCTATACCACGCCTTTATTACGGCATCCAACTTCCAAAAATTGTTTTATGAAAACATTTTGGAAAAATAATTCAAAATACGATACTTTGTCAATACACCCGTAGGCCACACAACAGAAGTTTTCCAAATTGCAATTGTATTAAACACTTGAAAATTTGTATGCTGTTATAATCGATCATTTCCAATCTACCTGAAATATTGTTAGTCCTTCAGCTATACAGGATTGACCTTCTCATACTGCGTTTAGACAAGCTGATTTATTAGACTGGGAGCCCACTATGTGTTTTTTGTGTCTCCAGCAGTATAAGAACCCACCAAATTACACCTTTCGCAACACGTAAATGAGCTCGCCGAATAAAAATCGTGGACCAAAGGGTGGGTAAAGTTGTATTATAAAACCCGGGGGTCTCGAACCATAACTTACCGTTCGGCATATGTCACAAGCTACTATAGTAATTGAAAAAAAATCAAATCTATCACTATAATAAAACATTATAGTTAGACAGTGACTGTCATTGTATAAATTTTCAACCAAAGAATAACTCTGTATGTGCATTCATGATGGAAAGGCAAAGGGTAGTGTTTCGCGAGGGCCAGGCTCGAAAAATTACGGAATTGTGTTTTTTATGTAGCAAAGGTTCTCGGTTGTTCAATGAAGTAGAAGCGTTCGATCATAAAAAAATGAATCTGTACAACGAGAAATTGAAAATGAAAAGAGAAAAAACAGCGCATGGGTATTGGAGGGAGGGGGGAGGTGGTATACCCTTGCAATATTCGGAAAATCTCGTTATGGGCCTAATTTCGATTCACGCACATTTCGATTCACCACATTTTGATTCAGTCACAGTCTGAACAGACACGAACGATGCCTTGTTGCCAAAGATCGATGTTGAAATATATACTTCTAGGGAAAGGATTCATTCAATTTGTACAGAAAAAGTAGTTTCTTTCTCCATGCAGAAAGGATATTGTCCTTCCTTATATTAGGTCTTCGGAATTCAAAAATGTTTCATGGGTTTTGTCTTCGCTAGTTACACAGAACAGTTCCAATCATTTTGTTAGATGGTGACAAATAATATTGTTAACGAAAATTGGATTATTAGACTACGTAGGCCAAGATCCAAGATGAGGATTCGGCATATATTTTTTATACTTCCATTTTATTTGATAATAAATATAAAGTCAATGCCGAACATTGATATATGATGAACGTATACTCTATACCCTAAAGACAAAACTACGTGAGGGTAATTGGCCCCCGATTTCAGCGATCATATAATTTTGAGTTTTAGTGAATTAGGGCGGATATATGCACACAGCTTTTTCATTAATCTGTAATTACACAATTATTAACGATTTCACGGATGAGGTACCTAAAACTTGATATTTCCGTTCATTCATTTATGCACCTCAATTGAATTTTATCTTTCATTAACTATTCACTAAGAGATGACCAACTTTTATCTCTTAACGACAAATACAAATAAAACTGTGACTTGCTAACCTGACAAACAATTTCTTCCTCATCTTTTTCCAAGATGTAGTTGGAAATTCTGAAAATTCTAGTCGTATGTTCGAATTAGACTTTGAAGACGATATGAATGAATGATTCTTATTCTAATTATGTGATCACTGAATGTTATAACACAAATACTTTCATCGGGCTAAGTACGCTGAGGACTATGTTTTGATCAAGAAGAGTTTAAAATTAAACGAAGGTGGTGCATAAAGGTCTCATAATCCTTAAATAAAAATACACTTAATGGCAGGTGATGAAAGCAACAGATTACTGAAAAAGCTGTTTGCATAAATCTACCTTTAATTGTTGAATACCCAAAATGCCGAACATTAACAAATGATAATAATATACAGCACCACTTCACGTCGTATCCACCCTACACCTTCGGCAATGCCGTCCGCCCAAACTTTTTTCTCAATTACAGTAACTTGACACCCCGGGTTTCTTAATACAAATTTACCACTCGGCCCTCACCTTTTGGTCCACGATTTTTATTCGGCGAGCTCATATACCTGTTGCGGAAAGTGTAATTTGGTGGGTTCTTATACTGCTGAGTGTGAACAAATGAGACACTAAAAACACGTAGTGGTGCATACAAGATTTTATTTTTCATGAAAAAATTCTTATCATAATGAAAAATCGAATTTAAAAAGCGGTTCATTGCTTCCAGTATTTTCTTTCCATTTTTCTTCTCATGGTAGGCATGGCATTTTTTATATTTTGATGTATGTTGAATATTGCTGTCATAATTTAATTTAGTGAATGTCATTGCCATTGAATGAATACAAATTCACCCATAAATATCATGAAAAATGCAGACAAGGCTTTGATTAATTTATTGCCGGAGAAATCCAGACCCGTGTATATACGACAAGGATTATGAAGTATTTTATCAATGGACGTTGAGAAATGAAATTATTGCCATGGATGAGGCCATGTTAAAACAATTAGTGGGCGTTATGATTCATAATGCCCTCCATAATGCCCCGGGCGTTATGGGTCTGTTAATAGCAACCGTTGCCAAGGTATTCTAAAGCAGTAATGGACAAGTGAAAAATAAATGATTAATCGACTATCCCAACTTTTCATCACTCACATATCTCTTTGGTAGAGAAAGTTTCTGTTATTCACAACAGTATTTTCGGTTTTCAGAAATCCGACTGCCTCTTCCATGGGTCCTTTCAATTCATTCAATTCATTTTCAACTAACTGAAGCCGATTCAATTTTTCTGTTCGTTGTTCAGCTAAAATCTCTACTCTTTCGTTCACCTGAATAAGGGGTTTCTGAAAATAAGTTCGAGAATTAGTTTCTCCACATGATGATCCCAGAAAATGTCGACAATTTTCTGGATGTTGATAGGACACATCGGAAATTTTGAAAAAACAACGTCCCTGAGGCCAAGATATTCACCCACAAAGGAAAGGGGGCAGTAATATTTCATATTCTGTACATAAATCATTCATATTCGGAATCTAATGTAGAAGAAGCACATTTGGATTGTTAATTTTCGGTTTAACTCCTCATGGAAACACCTCTGGCGGCGAATTTTTCGCACCCATCTTTTACTACATCGATTGCCCGGATTGCCCTTATGTGATTTGATTTGTGATGTGCAACTATACATTATAGTAGAAGATCCGAACCTAAGTCGACCTTCACCGAGCTGATAATAGAACGAAATATATTTTATCATGAATTTAGTATATTAGAAAACATATTAAAAATGGGTTGCCTAAAAAAATCCTGGGCAGACTATTTTTAATTATTTTTCGAAAAATTATTTTTAATTAAATGTTGCAACATCAGGATAATAAAAAAATTGTGTCCTGACTGAAAGTATGAAACGTATAGAATGTGCAGCCGTTGGGGTGTCTACTATTTACCTGGGCGAACTACTGGGTTGTCAGGTAAACACAGGTATATCGATGCCAGTTACTTTCACTGGATTGGATAATTTAAAAAAATGTATATCATCATAAGCGCTGTTTAATTGCGAACACGTTGATATAGGGTTGTCTGCGGAAATTCCGGTCCGATTAGGGGTTTTTAATTTCAACGCGCGTGGAAGTGTGTGACAGAGAGATCCGAGGTAAGTATACTGTGTGATAATAAAGGACCCAACATCGCAGTCGCTTGTGATGGGACCCTGAATAGTAGAAAGTGTGCGAAGTCAAATCCTGAAAACTATGGTTGGCATTTTGATGATTTCTTAAAACCAACAGGTTTTATCGGAGATCAAACTCCTTTGAAAATCCAGGACATTGTCGAAATGGAAGCAAATGAGGAAGAATCTAATGAATCAGACGAATTCGAGAGTCAAAATGATACTTCTGATGAATCAGATATTGAATAGAAAATATTTATTAGAATTTATTTTTCATTAATATTATTTTTGTATTTATACTGTTTTTTAATAAAATTTCAAATCGTAATACAAGATGTCTAGTCTATCTTTTTTGTTATTTCTTAATTTAAATTTTTGGCGGTCCACTTTGTTTCTATTTCCAGAAAGAGCAAAAAAATTTCAAAGTAAGTATTTGATATTTTTATTGTCTATTATAGATTATAGATATATCATTATGGTTATAACGCAATATACTGATATTATATTGTTTTTATATATTAGTATTATATTAAATATATTTAATTATTATGCAATTAATTAATTATTTTTTTTTGCTACTGAAATATCAGTTGCTCCAAAATAACACGCACTGTTTACTATATGAAGGGTAGTAGAGGTACCTCTACCCTCCATAGTTTACACACCGAGCATGCGCACTTTCTACTATTCAGGGTCCCATCACAAGCGACTGCGATGTTGGGTCCTTTATTATCACACAGTATACTTACCTCGGATCTCTCTGTCACACACTTCCACGCGCGTTGAAATTAAAAACCCCTAATCGGACCGGAATTTCCGCAGACAACCCTATATCAACGTGTTCGCAATTAAACAGCGCTTATGATGATATACATTTTTTTAAATTATCCAATCCAGTGAAAGTAACTGGCATCGATATACCTGTGTTTACCTGACAACCCAGTAGTTCGCCCAGGTAAATAGTAGACACCCCAACGGCTGCACATTCTATACGTTTCATACTTTCAGTCAGGACACAATTTTTTTATTATCCTGATGTTGCAACATTTAATTAAAAATAATTTTTCGAAAAATAATTAAAAATAGTCTGCCCAGGATTTTTTTAGGCAACCCATTTTTAATATGTTTTCTAATATACTAAATTCATGATAAAATATATTTCGTTCTATTATCAGCTCGGTGAAGGTCGACTTAGGTTCGGATCTTAGACTATTACAAATCTCATCACCATTAGAAATGATGGAAACATTGACGATTTCTTAAAAAAAACTTAGCATTTACCCTTTTCAAGTTACAAGAAACCAAATCAATCTGGCCATAGAAATAACCGTTTTATAACGGGAACAAATGTCCAATTATCATTTTCGCCATTTCAGTAGCAATATTTTTTATGAATAATCAAGTATTTTGATATTGGATATTGGAAGTTCCATTTTGTCGAAATTTTGAATGCAATTAGAAATGTATACAGGGTGAATCAGAATAAGACATTATCGACACACTTTGATGTTTTCAGATTCCTTATTTGACCTCCAGGTAAACATTGTTTTTTCAACGTATGTCCTGAAATAAAATCTGTAAAAAGAGGTTGTCAAAGGACGAATAAAATCATAATTTCAATTTCTTCATGACAGAACTTGTAGGAAAAATTCCAAATACTATCAAGTAATATGTCATAATTCGAAGTTTCTATTTTCATTTCTAGTAACCCAGTCGTAGTTATGTGACAAGAGTTCCTTTCGTATTATCTTATGGACAAATTCGTTTTTGACAGACTTATCGATGTTCAACATAAGCAGATTCAGTTCAGCTAATCAACTTGAAGAATGTTTGTATGATCATTTTTATCTCTACTCACTTTATAACGAGAAGTTCCAATAATATCCTCCAAATATTCTAACATACCGGTTTCATTTTCATTTTCTCCTTTGCATTTCATCATTGCTATTTGTTCTACTTCACCCTGAAAATTGCGTTAAAAGATAAAATGTTTCCAATGTCCACAGAATCACATACTTGTAATATCAAGAATCTATTGTGATCCAAATCGATACCATGTTGCTTTAGTAACTTTCCGACTTCTTTGAATTGAACCCTTTTACCATTCAACGTATAGAATGAGGAATTATCTTTGCACGCTGTACGGGACACCACAAATTCGCTTCCAGGTACAACATCATATTCATCTCCTTCCTGAAATAAAGAATGTGTAGTTTCAACTTGCAAAATCAAAAGGAAAATTTCCATAAACATTTCCGGAATTCTAGCGTGAAACATTTTAAATATAAAAATTAAAAATATATATCAGAGACCTACAAACAATTTTTTCCATGTCCAGCTGAAAAATAAAAAGCACTTTGGGATTTCCAAAGTTTTGAAATTGAGATGATGGTAATTTCTGAATGAATGAAATACAGACCAAGCAAGTATGTGACTCTTGAAGGCTTTCCTGATCAAATCAAAAATACTTGACTATGATATGGTGTATTTATATCTCCAGCATGGGTATAGGATGCTAAATCAGCCGGAATCGGGAACAAAACAGGTATGCGTCCCAACCCAAATAATACAATAATAATACAATAATACACCTGGAAACCTTCTATTACTACCACCTCCATTTCATTCCAACACAAAATTCTACAACAATTATCTCCCTCAATACCTATTATATCTGATCATGAATACACATTTCTATCAATGCACATCATCGCCCTGTACGCCAACTATTTTTCGACAAAAAAATTCGAACGAAAACTATTCGAAACAATTTTTTTCGAATAAACAAAGTTTCGAAAAGGAATATTCTCAGATAAATTATGAACATACAAAAATGAATATATATTTATATAAAGCAATACATTGAGAATTCGCATTCTCTATGTGATGAGAATATCAACTCTTTTTCAGTTTATTCAATAGAAAACAACTACTTTCCTGGCAAATTTTCGAATATTCTCATTTTCGAAAAATAAATTTCGAAAAACAACTCTTCAGAACACATTTTTTTCAAACAACAATTTTTCGAAAACAAGTTTAATTATTACAATTCAAGACCATATTATAGGTAACATTACAAAACATGAGCATTATTTGGCAAAGAAGTTATCAAATCATCATCATTACATGTTTCATCAAATGATGAAAATATATTGCGGAGCGTCTGGTCCAAAGATTTATAATATTTTTCTGTAGGCTCCTCTCCAGAAATGGCGTTCGCAATTTCAAGTTCCGTCAAGCATTGTTCCGTCTTATACAATTTTATCCAGGAAATTCCAAAGAGACGATTTTTGAGCGTCAATAAGAGAGAAAAATCTCCTATGCCATGATTCAGCGGTCTAGTTGGTCAACTGTGATTGCTCACTTTCAAAACAGCTCCAAAGATAATAAACAAACATGGGTTCAGCTCTTGACTATTGACCCTATTGACGCACCTAAATGATGTTGGTAGTTCGGCTAGATAGGAAGATTTCTGAGAAAAAAACAGGTTTTTGAAATGAAGAAATGAACGTTTTCGAGATAACAGCTTTTCGAAATGAATGATTTCGAAAAAAAAAAACCTTTCGGAGTTGTTTCTAGAAGAATGTAACTTTCGAAAATGATGATTTTCCAAAAATGGGTTCTTTGAAAGAATGTTTTCGAAAAAAAATCCGCAACTCCGTCCTGACTACTACTGTAATGAAGCAAAAGTAATGTACGGCATGAAAGGAGAAAACTCTGATGGACGGCATCAAAGAAGAAGACTGTGTATTCCGACTGATACAAATGGAATCCCCACCTATGACAAGTGCCATCAGACCCAAATACGCACCACGAGGTATATGGTCCAACAGATTAACTAGTCCCATTACATTGCAGTATTGAGTGATACGCCAAATATCCTAGGTCCTAAAATATTCAATAACTTACCTGAATATTTGAAAAATGCAAAAAATGTATCTTCTTTCAAAAAATGATTGAAATCATTTCTCATAGAAAAGTGTTTCTACTCGCTTAACGAATATTTTCATAATTGACCATCCAACCACCTAATAAAAATTGTACATATAATGTTTCTCTCTTATATATAATGTAAGTCTTTCATATTATGTAATCTGTCATTCATCTAGTTTATAGATTAATGTTTTTGTAACAACAACCTGACTATTCCTATACTTTTTAGAAAGTCTAAAGGAGAATAAAGATATTAATTTATTCCCAAACGAAACGAAAATCCAAACGATATGCGAGCACACTGACTTCACAACCCTGCAAGGCAATTATCTAATAACCCTACCCCTAGGATGTCGATTTGAAATCGATAGCGATCAGTTCACCGACCAGGAAGATGTACCAAAAGGTCAACTAACGAAATCCTCACACTTCAGAGCGAGCAGAAGAAGCTTACACCAATTATCCTTAGCCACACCGAGAAATCAGGGCAGGCACTGAATCATCCTGATCTATATCTTATTGATGTTAGCTGGAGTCTATCGTATTGTTAGATTCCTCCGAAACCGAAGACCATCAGAAGAGGAGACGCGAAAATAATGCTTGGCCACGTCGACCTCAACACCACAAGAGCACCCTCGAGCATTTTTCACTTCATGAACAATGCTTTTCATTACACTTCTTTAAAATCAACTTTTCATATATATTAGTAATATTGTAAGATTGGCTTTTTCGGGCTATCGCACGGAAACAGCGCACGGAAAAACTTTGAGGATAACCATGGAAACGAATCATACATGCCAAACACTGTAAATTTTTGCCGACAAAATGAACTCTGAAGAAAATCCCGAAATTCCCAATAATATCCCAGATCAAGCGGCACAAGCGACCGCGAATTTATTACCAGTAAAATCCAGGTCTAGTAGTTTCAAGTTTTTCATTCCTACAACTGTGAAAAAAAAATTTCCATGTTTCTTTTGTGTCTTTTTCATGTAATATTTTATTATTATATATTCATTTTCATCGAAGTGTAATAAAAAATATCGTTCATTACTCGCCCAGAAATGATTTTTCCGTGCTTGCAGAACTTGTCACACGCGCACGGAAAAATCCCTATTTTCAGACTGATATTTCTGATGAGAAGTGCTGATTTATACTTTGTGATTCCCCATTTGTAAGAACACAGTTCAGTTAGTCTTGAGGTATTGTACGATCCACTTGGCAATAAAATAAAATGTTTTTAAAAACTGAATTCATGGTCCGAATCATTCAAGTCGCGCTGTTTTTTTTAACGCATGACCATCTACTAAGCTGAAATTTACAGTTTTTGAGATAACTTGCCGAAAAATAAAAGTTTGCGTAGTAATTTTTCATTATTTTCAATAGTAAAGAATCACAAAAAAGTGTGTTTTTCATTCTGCATGAAATAACTAATACTGTTCAGCTACAAAATGAGAACTAAGAAGTATTTAATCTACTTACCAACAGAATAATATCCTGCTATTGCAAATGGGTAAAAATTACTATTCATGCTTCTATTTTGTGTGAAAAATCTTGAAATCTGCTCATATTAGCTATGTTCAAGGTTATGCATTCATTTAACAAAACAACAATGAATTCGAGATATTGTAGTGCTGTACTGTAGCGCAGCACTGGAAGAAATTTCCGGAATTAATTTCTGGGAAAAAATGATCCTATTGAAAGATGAAACCTTATGCCGAATTTGAATGTAAAATATTCAACCATTCTTGAGTTATTGCGAAAGAACAATTTTTATTTCTTAACTTCAACACCCTGAATCTCGAGAACTGAACACTTGATGACAGTATGTCCCTAACTCAATAATCATAAAATCATGAGGACTATATCACCTGTCCAACGTTGTCAGTCGAATTTTACAAATCCCTGTATATACAACAAATAAGAAACAAATGAAATAATAATCATTGTACAAGAAGAAAACAAGAACATCCATTTCAAGCATTCATAATATCATGGATGAATAATATATACAGGGTGATTCACGGTGGATGGCGTATTATAAATATCATTCTGAAAATTGGTATGCATTAATAACTCAATAATAAAGCATTCTCTATCCTTCTTAAATATTTCCATTATTACAGTGTCGCCGCTTGTATAACAAGGAAGTAGCAACTGTAAATTATTTCATTTTATGAATCTACGTTGATTTCACATCAAGTTTATCTAATATTTCTCTATTCCTATCAGATGCCGTTTTCGAGATAATAATTGATGTCGAAAATTTCTGAAGCAAAGTATGTATTAAGAAATTTTCAATATTTTCATAACCCGAAACATATAGAAACTAATATGTGAGAGAAGAAAAGGTCGAGACCGAGAACACTGGATCGTTCAGAAAAATCTTCTAGTCTAAGGAGCTCGTGAACCTTTTATACAACGGTTTGTCTGTAAGGCTAAAAATTTGTATAGTGATGGATCAAAAGGTGTTAAGTAAGGAAACCATGACCTGGCAGGCCTCACCCTTGCACGTCACCTTCTATATTTTTTAAAATGTAAAAATTATTGAAAAAATAAACTTGGCACTGTAAAACTTGTAATTTTATCATGATGTTATTTAGATATTGTAAAATGAAGAAAAAAATTGACAGGCGATTTTGATGAGCAAAAGAGGGTGCCAAGAGAGTCCAAAAGTGGAGGAAATATAATTTGCTGACCAAAATTGAAGCTTGCTGACCGGACATTTCGATTGATTTTCGACAATAAAGTTATATTAATGGATACATTGTTGTTACTGGTAAAATTATTCCAATTCACCCCCTCAGAAGGGTAATTTATTCTAACGGTTTTTCATAAATCCTCGCTGAGCGAGCATTTCTGGTTACAATTTCGGTTTCAAATTACATATTTGAACATCTTATATGATTACCTAGTTGCCATTCGATTAACAATCTTGATCTAGTTCTCAGTTCATCCTTGATGTTTTTCAAAAATCTCTGCTGACCGAGCATTTCTGGTTTGAATTTTTGCTCCAAATTACATATTTGTAGATCTTATACGGATATGCAGTTGCCACCAAGGCAATAATCTCAATCCACCCCTTAAGAGGGGTAGTTTATTCTTGATGTTTCTCAAAAATCCTTGCTGACCGAGCATTTCTGGTTCCAATTTTTGCTTCAAATTACATATTTGAAGATCTTATATAGATATCCAGTTGCCACCAAGGCAATAATTTCAATCCACCCCTCAAGAGGGGTAGTTTATTCGTGATGTTTTTCAAA